CGTAGCGTCGGCTCAGTCCGTGGAAGCTCCGGCTCCAAGCCCTGCGTCTGGATCTGGTGCGATCTCGCCGTCTGTTGTCTCCGCCGGTGTTGCCACCGTCGTGGCTCTAGTTTTTGGCTCCGCTCTTCGGATCTGAGTCTGAGATGGTGATTCGTACAGAGAATGTTTTAGCATTATTATTTTTTGTCTGCGTATAGCATTCATCTTATTCGTGTGTAATCCGGTGCTATATTTGCTTCTCTAGTTGATTCATCTATCTATATATCTACATACATATATATTTACATATGAGAATATATATATATAGTCTATTTCTAGAGGATTGTGGTTGTGTTTTGTAGACGATTTTAAGTATGTTCAATTGATTTTGGTATGAGATGTTTTTATGATTCATCTATATTTCTATGATAATCTTCGATCTGCCTTTCTTCTAGTTAAAATACACCTTATTTTCTACCCTTTACTAGTGGTTCGCAATTTACACTTCTTCTTGGATCCGAGAGTATAATTTTCTGGTCCGTTGTCTCCGATTGAGAGAAAAAAAATGAGAGTAGTTCGTTCTTTTCAGAATCCAATGACTGGACATCTTTAACTTCTTGTGCCGCATTGAATAATTGGTTAGAAAATACCAAAGTGGAACCGGGTAATGTATTTGATTTGGTTATAGGACATTAACCGGAGCGAGTAACCGAATCGGTTACTGGTTTATATTACCCGTTGATTCACAACCGGTATGATTTCGGATGCCGTAAATTGTTAATGTGCTGCCATCGTACCAAAATTTGACCATCTCGTAAACCGGGAACAGACGTATGTTCCTCGGGCGGTTAAGCTAACCGGTGAATGGTAACTACGATTATATAAAATAAATAATAGCCTTCCATTTATTCGGTTTTGGTTGGTTAAGCGGGTTTTCAACGCAATCGTCATTTAAATTTTGACTTGCAATTTACAAAGGCCACAGGGAAAGGTGGTTTTGAAATGTTAATAACTTAATCAATAATTAAAAACCAAATCATTAAAATGTTTTATTTATTTGAATTTCCAATCTATTTTTTGTGAAAAAATAATGCACCAAGTACTCTGTTCATATATATATATATATATATATATATATATAGTGTTGAATTGGAATTTAGTTGCAGTTTAAATTCGTCGAGATTACTGCAATTAACACGTGGATCAAGAAGGATTTCGTAGTTAATCAAAAAATTAACTTGTTATTAATCGGTATTATTAATAACTAATATTATATCTTATTGTATATTTGTCAAGGATTATAGAATATTATGGATCCCGGTTTGACGTAAAGTGTAAAATGTTAAATGTACACATGCCACGACTTGACGACCTGACGTGTTCTTCCACAATAACTTTAATTGATTTTTATAATTAATCTTGGTTTATAGCTTCATCACTAAGATATATATATATATATATACACACACACACACCAATTAGGGCAATTTTGGTCTCTCCAAATTGCCGAGAAAGGTAATAAAGATAATTGATACGTTGAACATCATTACCATATATGTAACGGGTGAATAAATTAAATCCATAGACAAATAATTGTGTAATAACAGAGAAATGCGTAAAAGAATGGTATAATAATTTATTTCATTACTATAAAAATACGTTTCATAACTTTTTGACAATATTTAAGGATATGATCATATCTCTTGAAATACAATACTTTTTACCATCTTACCATAACAAAATCTTCTAACCAAATTCTATATAAATCTCTAATTGACTTCCTCAAATTCCACAAAAAGCAACATCACCATCTTACGAAAAGAAAAAGACTAAAAAAAAAATATTTCTTTGAGACAACAGCAACGGCTATGAAATCGCCTTTGGCCATTTTTTGCTTAGTCCTCGTCATCTCCCTTTTCGGCCTACATCAATGTATGTTATTTTTTTTTATAACCATGATGGTTCTCCGGGCCTTCGATCTGACTACATCCACCCTAGACCCGGATCAGTCTTTGTATATGGACCATTTTGGTCCAGAAATTACATCAATGTATTTGTACACTTCTTCAAAGATCGATTCTTTTTTAATGCATGCATGCATATATATGGAGAAATTGAAATTGAAATCGAAATCGTATATATGTATGTATGTTGCAGGTGCAAGTGCAAGTGCGGGGAAGAATGAAAGGATAGACATCTTTGTGCCTCCATGCATTAGGGGGCATTGCAGCTTTGGGCTCACGAGAGATTGCTACTGCTGCGTTGGCAAAGTGAAGCAGTGTTGGAAGACCAAAGAGCCGTGCTGGCAGACTTGTCCTAAGCTCAACCCTCCACTAGCACAGACTCCTTCTTCCATTTTCTAACATAATCATTTTGCCTTTCTTTTTTCTTTTTAATAATATGTTTGATTAATTTAATAAAAAATAGCAATGGTGATGCTAATAATATCGATATTGTCTTGATTTTATGCGTACCAAAATTAAAGTATCAGTAACGTATAAAATCATTCATACATCTCGAACTATATTGCTTGAAAGCCTATGGGAAAACTAGGGGTGTAAAACGGGCCGGCTCGGCCCAGCCCGGCCCAGCCCGTTCCGATCCGAGAAAATTTTAGCCCAGCCCAGCCCAGCCCGTTTTTTAACGAGCCAAAAATATACTAACCCAGCCCAGATCGCCTTAGCCCGCGAGCCAAACGAGCCGGCCCGCGGGCCAAATATATAATTTTAAAAATAAAATTTAAATAATAAAAAATATTTTAAAATAATTTTAATATGGTGGCGGGTCGTGCTCGCCACGAGCCCGGCCCGTGATGGGCCAGCTCATTTGACCCGTTTTTTTCTGGGCTCAATTATTCTCAGCCCAGCTCGGAAGAATATGGGCTGGTTCGCGAGCCAACCCGCGGGCCAGAACCCATTTTACACCCCTAGGGAAAACTCTAAAAAAATTGGACGAACTCTTTAAAATGAGTTAAAAAAATATATATATAAATTTCAAATTTAACAAATAAATACACTAAATATTTAAATATTTTAAATATATATTTTTATCCTACAATTGATGTCAATTTTCTGATATAATACGTCATGCTACTTAATTTGCACGCCACCGTGCCACATCAACAAAAATAAAAGTATAAAATGAAAAAATAAAATTAAAAAAACAAAACATAAAATTTAAAAACAAAAAAGCAAACAAAAAATACGTATATACAAACTCATATATATATATATGCATATTATTTACACATACACAAACACACATATATATATATATGTATGTATATGTATATGTATATGTATATGTATATGTATATGTATATGTATATATATATATGTATATGTATATGTATGCGCATATATATATATATATCAATATATGTGGATATATGTATATGCATTTAAACGTGGTGTGCCACGTCAGATTTCCATCAAATGAATTTGTACAATGTCACGGCGCGTTAGGGAATCGATATCAATTTTAGGAGTTTGTTCATATTTTTAGGACTTTCGACATTTGATTTCTTATTTTTCAAATTAAAAGTCTTATATTTTTCTGTATATTTTAAAGGAATCGGTATATTTTTTTGGGATTTCACTGTCGAATCTCATTATTTTTTTGAAACGTAATATAGACCCGTTTTGATTGTATTCGAGAAGTGACGCAAACTTGGAATCTTTAAAGGCCCGATAAGATTATAAAGAGAGTAAATTCAATATCGTTATTAAAAACTTACCATAGATTATAAATATAATAAAATTAATAGTATATTAACATTTTTACAAACTTACCATAATTTCTTTCACACACATATGTATATATATATATATATATATATACGAACACAAAAACACATATGACTTCCATAAGTTACAAATATTTATCTGTGATTAATTAATAACCATGTGTCGTCGTTTGGCCATCATTTGCTTGGTCCTTGTTTCTCTCTTTGGTCTTCATAAATGTATGCATATTTCTTTAAAGAATCACCATCACCATCATCGTCATTATCATCATCATCATCATCACTATCGTCGTCATCATCATCATTATATGAACCGAGTTTTTCTTGTCTAATCCAAACTCTATGCATTTGACATGCATATATAAGGTTTCATGCATTTTCTTGCTATTACTGATATAAACCAGCTAGCACACATACACACACACATATACACATACATACATACAGATCATAGATATTTCCTGATCCTGTTGTTTTGGTTTTTGATACATATAACTGCAGGTGTAATCATAAAAAGACCAGAGGTGATCGGATCGAGCAAGCTGTTCATACCGCCATGCATTAGAGAGAATTGTCACTCTGTCTGGAGGCGAGACTGCTACTGTTGCATGGGGGAAGTAGTGAAACTGTGCTGGGAGCACAAAGACACGTGCTGGGCGCTGTGTCCGTCCCTTCACACCCCTCCTCCCCTCCCCTCCCCATGAGTCCAAGGCTTTGACTCAGAATTCTTCATCTATCTATCTTTACAAACTTATCTTTTCTTCATATATAATAATGACAAGTTCAATCACAAATTTACTCATCTATGCGAGATTTAAGGCGTGATTGGAAAAATGATTGTTGGAATCGCAATCGTCCGCTATCACAACAAAACGTTAGGATTAATCGTTTTGTGATGTTTTGGTTAAATGACCAAAATAGCCATAATCTTAGTTAATATTTACATATATATATATATGCATAATACATACATATACATGAAATACACACATACATATATATAGATATATATACAAACTCATATATATCGATACATATTTTTTATATATACACACAAACATATATATGTACGTGTGTATGTAGGTGCGGATATGTATGTATACGTTTGTGTGGCTATATGTATATGTATGGATACGTGGCGTGATTTCCATCAAATGAATTTTCACAATGTTACGGTCCTTTAGGAAAACTGATATCAATTTTAGGAGTTTGTTCATTTTTTAGGACTTTTGACATTTGATTTCTTTATTTTTCAAATTAAAATTTTTTATATTTTTTTCGGTATATTTTAAAGAATCCATATATTTTCTGGGATTTCACTATTGAATCTCATTATTTTTTGAAACGTAATATGTACCCGTTTTGATTGTGTTCAAGACCCAACACTCTTGTCAATAAAATTTAATTTTGATTATTTAAAGACCCGATAAGATTATAATAAATTCACAGATAATTTTGAAACGTAATATATACCCGTTTTGATTGTATTCGAGAAGTGACGTGAACTTGGAATCTTTAAAAACCCGATAAGATTACATAGAGTAAATTCAATATCGCTATTAAAAAGCTTACCACGGATTATAAAGATTATAAAATTAATAGTATATAAACATTTTTACAAACTTACCATAATTTCTTTTATATATACAAACACACACAAATTTCTATGACTTCCATAAGTTACAAATAACCATGTGTCGCTTGACTATCATTTGCTTGGTCCTTGTTTCTCTCTTTGGTCTTCATAAATGTACGCATATTTCTTTAGATCGAGATCCATCATCGCCATCACCATCACCATCATCATCATCATCATCATATGAACCAAGTTTTTCTTCTCTTAATCCGAACTCTATGCATGTTTTTCACCCAAAAAGCGTGTCGACATACATAGGGTTTCATGCATTTTATTGCTATTACTAATATAAACTACCTAGCTCAGATACATACATACATACATACATACATACATACATACATACATTACATACATATATATATATATATCCTGATCCTTGTTTTGGTTAATTTGATACGTTTAATTGCAGGTGTAATCATAAAAAGACCAGAGGTTATTGGATCGAACAAGCTGTTCATACCGCCATGCATTAGAGGGTTTTGTCAGTCGGCTTGGAAGCGAGACTGTTACTGTTGCGCGCGGAAACTGAAGCTGTGTTGGGAGGACAAAGAAACGTGCTGGGCGCTGTGTCCACCCCTCAACCCTCCTCCTAAGCCTCCCGCTGATTCCAAGGCTTTGATTCAGAATTCTTCATCATAAACTATTCCGATTCATTATATATCTCGTCAAGTTTAATTATGCTCTCTCTTTTTTTCCTCATATATAATAATTAATTAATATGATCTATAGCATACAATGTTATTTTGATATATTAAAATTTCAGTAGGGTCTTTTTGTTGTATACGAAACTAATATTTTTTTTTTTACTTTTTTTTAAAAAAAAATTTATTCTTTGCAAAGCAATAAAATCTGATTGTAGAAAATTAAGTTAAAAAAGGCAAACAAATTTTGTTTCACCAAAACAATTTTAACCAAATTAGAACCATAATAATTGAAAGATATGATGATTTTACGTGTAGAGAAAAAAATAATTTTAAAAGTTTGAAACACGGTAATTATTAATATCAACGATTTTATATTATACCATATTTATTCGTTTTCATTTAAAACAATATTTTATTTTTATTCATTAAAAGATAAAAAATTTGATTTGGATTTTTGTTTATTATCATATATTAGTCAATGTTTTTGTTATTTTGTACGAGATCTTTTTCTTTTTTAATTCTCTGATTTTTTTACCTTTTTATTTACATGTATGATGAAGAAAAAAATCTAAAATTCTGTTAGAAATTTCTCTTGATTAATGCGATCACAATATCATATTTTTAATATTTTTACAATTTGGTGGAAAATTTCTTGACTCTTTTGTCACAAATTTCCATACATTTAAAGCTTAAACCTTGAAAAATCTTTCATGTAGAAGAATTTTTTTTTTCTTATATAATTAGCCCTTTGACTCCGCAGTCTAATCAAAATTTCAGGAGAAAAAATCAAAGAGAATAACGTAACTTTGAGAAAAACTTAAAATGGCGTCACGGTTGGCTGTAATATTGCTCATAGTCATGTTCTCCCTCTTTCAGCTTTATCAATGTAAGTATATGTATATTCCATTACCCATATCAATATATCTCATTTAAAATATATGTGCCATGTGTGTATGTATATATAACATGTTATTGTTATATACCATTAGATGGATTTTTATGACTCTTATAAACGATATTTTGGTATGGAGCCTTTCGTTTTCAATTTGTCAGTTTTCCGTCATGCATATAACATAGAATTGTAATATGATCATAGTATTAAATATTCTTCGTTCTTACATATATGTGTATATGTGTATATATAGGTGTGGATGTGGAGAAAGGGCGGGAAATGGGCGGTGGATCGAATAAAATTTGGGTACCGCCATGCATTAAAAATATGTGCGATAGCTTAGATTTCAAAAGGAGTTGTTACTGCTGCATCAAAGACAGCAGCAAGTGTTGGACCGTCAAAGAAGATTGCTGGTCGAGATGTCCGCCCGTTTCCCCACCTCAGCCTAAAACCTCATCCTAAGTTCATGCATGCACATGTCGCTACATATAATTTCTTATGCAGCTCTACATATATATACACACATACATACATATATATGATCTGCTCTTATATGTAGTTTCCTTATTATCTCGTCTTCTCGAGAATAACAACAATAAGAACGAGTTCTTTCTCGTATGATATCTGTCTTGATGTTTTTTTCTTTCAGTTTTTCCCTTTTTTTTTGGTTAACGTATCTTCTTCTTTTAAAACATATCGGTGTAGAAAAAATAAAATATAAAAATAAAATACGATAAATATAAAAAAGAACAGAATTACTTTTCTTGTTAGATATCTTCTTCTATTTACGTTACAATAAAAATTACTCATAAGTTTATAGAAAAATTAATAAATAAAGTTAAAAAATATTTAACATAATATTGTGTTTGTTATTATTTTCAATAATATCACAAAATCTATATTTTTCTCTAATATCAAATTCATTTTCATATTTCAACGATCCACACATGTAACTTAGGGCATAATATTGGTGGGTCATTAGGCTATGAGAGGGGATTCGATTAAGGTCTTGTTCACGATTAAAACATTAATTAATTGAGGGTTAATCCATGTAATTAACTATAGAGATCTCATTCATCCCCTTTTAGCAGAAGATGAAACACACAACAGACCAAAAAAATCCCATTCAATCTTCTACTCTTAAGGTTTTTTTTTTAACATAATGATGTTGGTATATATTGATTATGATTTTTGCATCCTGCACCTCAAATATTTCACAATTTTTTCTTTTAAAAAAATTCATCAAATCCGAATAACATGTGATTTCGTGTGTCTTCTTTCATAAATCAAATTTATAATATTTTATTTTCAACTCAGCTTTTAGATTAACAGAATAATTAGATCCAATTAAACTCCTTTCTAGTATGGTTTAGTTCAGTTTTTATTTGGATAGTAATTCTTTTTAATTAAAAATAATTTTTTCAATTCAGTTTAATCTGATTTAATTATATTGGTTGGATTTGAATATTTTATCCGTATCTAAAATCAAATATGAACGACGAGTCTTTTAAAAACCATTTATTGTTTTGAATACGAACTATTCAAACTCAATAAGAACAAAACTAAAAGTAATTAAGTAGATAGAATAGATTTTTCTTTTCAAATGATAAAGTGGCATTCCTTATATTTTATTTTTTTTACCTAAATAATGTCTTTTTATAACTAATTTCAAAATTGTAGTTTGAATAATTTATTGGATATTGACTTGACTCGGTTATTTCCAAAAGAAATGCCGCTATGTTAATTAATTAAAATTGTATTGAACTTTTATTTTTCTATTTATTGCATTAGAAATTCTTCTATATAACTCGTATAGGATTCAAAGCTAATTCCATTCATTCACAAATAACGCAAAATAAATCATCAATTTCAAACATCAACAATCATGTTTTCTCGTGTGGCTATTGTTTGCTTGATCATCGTATCTCTCTTTCATCAACACCAATGTAAGGTTTTTTTTTAATGAATTATTTTATATTCATTTATTTGTGTATCTTTTGTTATATTAGTTTTTTCAACGGTCAAATTGTGATATTATGATTAACTTATAGAATGACTAATCTATTTTATTATATGATTATTTGTTTTTAAATATAGGTGTGAGAGTAGAGAAGAACATTGTTGGAGCAGAGAAGATAATATTAGGGAAATGTATAAGAGCATTTTGCAGATCGCTGTTCAAGAAGGATTGTTATTGTTGTTACAACGATAGAAACAATTGTTGGTCCGACCAAAGAACGTGTGAGAATAATTGTCCTAATTCTGCTTCATTGTCTCCCAAATCTCTCTAAATCCATGTAACTCTCTCCTAATACTTTGAAATAAAAAGAAATAATGATATAGATTTATTATATATCGAGAGATTTAAATTCTTATCCATATATTTGGTATTTTTTCCATTGCAAGATCACAGTCGATCGAAATTCGTTTCAATTTGATTACAGAATTTATCAAAACCAATAAATCATGCATCACTATATATAATATTGTTCTTATTGATTTTTATAATGTTTTATAGATGCATGGGGCCAAGTTTTACAAGTATACGTGTTGTCATGACCTATTTAACTTAAATTTGACTTTTAAAGTGAGAGACACTTAGCGAAAAAGATATTGGGGGAATTAAAGATTAAGTTTATTGTAACATTTTGTCGTATATAATAATGTTTTCAATAGTTGTATCAAATATCGATGATGGTTAGAAATGATATTTACAAATACACAATTGTCTATGATTTTTTTATATATTAGATTTCTAAATCAATTCATCATATATTAGAAAATAATGATAAGTTTGTTTTATAAATAAAAATGAGCTTAAGCTTCGTAATGTTTAGTTAATAGCAAAAGCAATAATAAAAATGGATTAATCCCATAGAAATTACCGAACTTGTCAAATACAAGAAAACTAATTACCTAACTTGCTTAGCCCATAAAAATTACTGGACTTGAAAATATGTCATTCGAATACCTAAACTTGTTAAACGCTGTCAAATTCAATTTTGATTGACGTTGACTACGGAAAATGTTAAATGTGGATGGCATGATGGTACACGTGTATTGTCACACCGTAATTTATTGCCATGTCAGCAAAATTAGATGGATTGAACCGGTATTAAACCGAACCGATTCAATCGGTTTTATTGCCAGTGTTCCTCTGGTGAGAAGTAGACGAGACCTGTAATTTTTTCGTTTCACCGGAAAGGGAGGAGGACTGAACCAATTCTAGAATCGAAAAATAACCATAGATCGGAAAAAAATACAGTTAAACTTTCGAAGAGAAACCGAAGAATTCCTACGGCCTTGAACACGTAGGTCTATGGATTTGGAAATGTTTAGGGTTTTTACATGTATATAATCGCGATCGAGAAGAAAAAAATAAAAGAGGAAGACATAAAAAAAAAAAAGAAGATATAACCGATCCGGTTTAATACCGGTTCAATCGATCCAATTTTAAAATTATTTTCAATGATGCCGCAACAAATAATGACGTTACAATACACATGTATTGCCATGTCATCCATATTTAACGGTGTTTATAATCAACGTTGGTCAAATTTTATTTTGACAGCGTTTAACAAGTTTAGGTATTTGAATGACATATTTTCTAAGTTTAGAAATTTTTATGGGAGTTTGCAAGTTCAATCATTTTGTCCTAATACTTTGCAATAAAAATAATAAATAATATATATATTTTTTTTATATTGAGAGATTTAAATTCTTACCCGTTTGGTATATCCCGATTACAATATTATATTCGATCAAAATTCGATTTTTTTTTATCTTATTTGTTTTGATGGTAAAATTTATCGAAACAAATAATTTATACATAACTAAGTAAGATTTATTGTAAAAGCTTCGTGTATATATTAATGTATGCTTTTTTTTCCTCCTAATCACATTAGGTATTTGGAAGGTTGATAGTTGATTCACATTATTATGATTTATTAATAGGTTGATGAGGTTAGGAGTTAAATCATTAGATCATTGATGTCTTACGAATATTTTTTTTTTGATAATTTAAATTCGACATGTGACTTAAATTTGGAGTCTTCAAAAATTATAAAAGCTACAGGAAGTTTAATATCATAATTAGTAACTTAACATAAGATGATAAAGTTAAACGAATTAATAATATACAAGAATTTTACAACCTTACCGTAGGAAAGATTAGTGTAGCATTTACTTTTATATTTAGAAATCTTAGGACTTCCATATGTTACAAATATACATGTCTGTAATTTGTTTTTTTTTTTCTCTTTGACCACCAACAATTTATTTAAAATTTAAAATTTCATTATCTAATAATAAATCAATTGTTCTTAAATCAAGGTATTAATATTATCCAATTTCTCAATCAAACCGAAATTTAAAAAATTCAACCGTTGAATGCTTTAGGGTTGTTTTTTTCTTCAGTTTTTTAATCGAATTTGGTTTGATTTAGATTAATTATATCAATTCTTTTTTTTGTTAGATTTAGTTTTGTTGGGATTCAATTCAATTTTTGGTTTTATTTATAAAATATTCATTTTTAAATATTTTTTTGGTTTTGGACAATTTTTCCAAACCGAAGTAGATTACCGACCAATCCAAACCGGAATCCAATTTCCGGTTTAGACCGGCTGCATTTTAACCGACTTGTTTTATAAACCGTAACGTAGAGCAAAGCAATCGTTGTTTTATATTTGCTTCGCCAAGAACCCTAACCCTCTGTTTTTCCTCTCTCTCTCTCTCTCTCTCTCTCTCTCTCTCGTCACTCTCAGGTTAGTGATCGTTTCGTGTCCCAGTGACGTTCCTTTTATTTTCCCTACCTCTGATTCGTTCATGGGTTTTGTTTTTTTTTCCGTACATGGTCTGTATTAGATTAATGTTTTGATTTGCTGATTTTTTTTCTTTTCTGGAATTCGCTTCTTGTAAGTTTACTGAATTTGACTCTAGTTTCGTCGTCTGAACTGGGAGTTACGATGACTTGATTCTGATGTTGGGTTTGATTTGGTTAGGGTTGCAGGTGTGGTAATGGAGGAAGAAGAGAGTGTGTTGATTGCTATAAACGAAGAGGATGACTTCGACAACATAGAAGATGTTGATATGGTTGATGCAGAAGAAGGAGAGATTATGGAACATAACTCACAGGAATCTGGGAAGGGACAGAGTAGTGTCGGAGATGTGGGTGATAGTAAAGAAGGGTCCTTGGATAAGATGCCCGAAAATGGTAAGCCAAGCAAGAAGAAGAAGAACAAGAAGAAGAAGAAGAGAAAGAATCGTCCATTGCCAAAAGCAATGGATATCAACAGGTATTATTATAATGCTTTTCTCTGGGCTTTTGTTTGTGATGCTCATGGTGTTTGAAGTTTGAACTGGATTGCCTATTATTTGGAGTTCTGTTTTAGTTTTGCATGTTAATGGTATCTGAATGTCAGTATGAGTTAAAGATATGAGATTTCAGGATGAAACCCTTCCTCATGGTATCACAATTTGTTGTTTCAGGTTTGTTATAGATACTTGTCGGCGTCTGAAGGAAAAGAAGTCTTACATGGTATATGCAGCTGTCGGGTGTCTCGGAGTTTCTGCCCTAAGTGATCTTATCAACGAGGTCTCCATATGCTCCTTCACAAAACATTCTATATTATGACACTATTAGCTTACTTTCTCAGTGTATGTCCACGAGGAAAATGGCTAGCTTTGATTCACTTGCAGATGTTTCTTGCTGGATTCTCCTGGTTCAATATATTGTGATGTGTCATGGCATATATCTAGATGGATTTTACTTTCTTTTTTTTTGTGCAGGTTGAGAGTTTTTTTACTGTTGATGGTGTTACTATGCATGTTAATGTCTTTTCCAGCATGTTTGGCTTTCAGCAAGTACATATATCGATTGGCGAAAAGAAAAACTTTACAACTAGTACCTGTTATTCATCTGTGATGAAATCTCGGTTTGGTCATTTTAAATTGATATGTTTCAAGATTCATACTCATGAAGCTGTTGAGATAAATTATGTTTTTCTACCTATGTTTCATTGATCGCTCTATCACTTTCTTGTTCCCCTCCGCATGAAGTTTCTTTAGGATTGTTCTTTTCCCATGTACAAGAACCCTGCCAAGTGTTGACGAAAACAAATTGCACTTCTCAGGTGGAAGCAATCCAGTCTTGCGGAGGTCAGGTGACTGCTGATGGAAGTAGGAAACGGACAGGTGGGGGAGTTTTGTGGAACATCATCAAAGCAAGACAACCCGCATCGTACAGAGAGATAATGAAAAAGACCAGGGAGTTCGAGGTCTTGTACTTCACTTGTTTCTTATTGCAATATGCTTTGCTATAACCTGTCTGATCTCAGGCTTATTATCTATTTACGGTTTATATTTTGAAGGACCGTGTTTTCTTGTGTATTGATATTTGGCAATTTTGCAGAAGCAATTTAGGCACCCAATTGCAAGGCAGCAACTCGGGCAGAACAAGGAAGGCTCTTCTGAAGGAAGTTTATGTGTGTCTCCTGATGAAGCTCCGGCCAGCGAGTTGAATGCTATGCCCGTGGCTGAGCAGGAAGAATCCAAGAGGGAAGAACGGAAATCTGTTCATGAGAGGATCAGGATGCCAGTTTCATATGATGACCTTTTTGTGGAGGGCCATTCAAATGCATCTCAGACACATTCATCGGCTTAGCTTATACAATGTGTGCCTTATAGATGTTTTAGCAAGGTATTCTTGATATCTCAGCACCTTGACTCTCTCTGGATTGGAAAACAGAAGGTTCTCTCTATATAGCGGAAGATAAACATACTAGTGAGATGAAAAAGGCAGAGGGGAACAATTTTCTCTGTCAATTTCCTATGCAGGGTTCTCATGATATCTTATTTTTTTCAATGAGACGAGTTCTTAAATCTAAATACCCGAAACCCTTCGAGTGTTTCACATTGTCAAACTCACAATCATGCTCGTAGAACATGTTTCAACACTAAAACCCTTTCATGTTCATTGTTTTCTTCACCACATCCAACTGCAGGGTCTGCAGACCTTCCGAGTTCGAAGGTCTCTGGTAATTCATGCTGATTCGGCCTTAGTGATCTCCCGATATTGCTGGAAAACCTCCCATTGTTGTATTTCGAGTTCATGTTATACGACTTGTGTTTCAGTGTGGCATTCTGCAGTCTAGATGGTGTATTCATATATATGTCTGACTAGGTGTACCTGCATCTTGCTGCTTCTGCAGAAAGAGGCATGCTACTGTAATGTCATCAACCTTTGTAGATTGAAGCTTCTTCTTCTTCCATGCAGCTTTTGCAGTCTCTGCCACCAGCTTTGCTGCTGAAGCCGGCTTTCTCTCCGAACTCACAATCGAGACAACTTCGTCGTTGCTAAGCACATCCCACACCTGTGATAAGATTTACCGGAGGGATCATCATCGAATTAAGATTGGTAACTGTCTCTATAGTTTCCATCAGTAAATGTGTCACTGACTGCTTACCCCGTCTGTAGCAAGGACAAGGAACTGGTCATTGGGAGTTAGACGACGGTGAGAGACCTCAGGAACGGCGATAATGCCATAGTCCTTGAGCACAAAATCTCCAAACGCTCTCGACATGGCTAACCCGGGCACGTCCCGGTTGGGCAGCCATACCCTCGGGTTATAGGGCTCTGCTTTCAAGGCGAACACACGGCCGTTGCACCTTGTGATCCTCTCTTCTTCACCTGCAGCACAAGAAAACTCCGGATATCGGTATTGATTCAATCCTTTAGCACAGCCTGAAACAAGAGAAGGGGGAAGAAGAAGAAGAAGAAACTCACGAGGAACTCCGGGTTTCAGATCAGTGGTTAACTGAACAGCTCCGAGCTCTCCATCCTCGGACACCGTCCCCAGCACGGCCCTTGAATCCCCGAGATTAGCTAGCACGAGATCGTTTCCCTGTCTGATGGCAATGACAGCAGTGGTGCCGCTGAAAGAGCAGTCAAAGGTCTGGAGGAGAAGCTCTCTGTCAATGAGTCTGAAGGCAGAAAGACAAGCTTCTTCCCACTCGCCATCATCATCATCATCAGGAGATTGGTTCTTGAATGTCAGCAAGAGAGATGGCAACCTGTTTCTCACCATCTTGCTAACCAAATGCCCACTTTTCCCATGCCCATCGAACACTCCACACATCTCCCCTTCCCCTCTCCCGTATCCCTTCATAAAGGATCATGTGGTTTATATAAAAAAAACATATATATTTTAATTCTGTATATGTAATCTACTACTAACCAGGTAAAGGACAGCAGCATCCTGGTTAAGCCCTTTGCTCCCTTGAATTGACCAGACCGAACCGGACGGCCAAACCGGACCGTCGTCACCTAAACCGGACTCTTCTCCATAACACACCATCGTGTTTCCATCGGAAAACTCGTTCTCTTCGTGGATCTCCGACGAAGACACCGAGAAACAGTGACCCATTTCCTCTTTCTCCGATCAGATCTTTTCACCGGCGAATTGAGTGGTTTATGATCAGATCGGGAAATTTGCTTCGGATGGCCGTCGCATATCAGAGAGAATGATACGAAATTTGTGATGAAGGTGAAGCTCTTGACCAAACATTTATGTGTATACATGTGTACATACGCTACCCTACGTATGTATATACCTGTATACAGTAATCACATTTCCATAATATAATAATATTACTGCTGATATAAAGAGGAACCTGTGATCGCGTCCTGCCAACGAGAGTTCAAAAGTATAAAATCATTATGTATGTATGTATGTATGTATGTATGTATGTATGTATGTATGTATGTATGTATGTATGTATGTATGTATGTATGTATGTATGTATGTGATCCGACCTTGTCTTGAAAGGACAATTTTGGCAAGAGGCTTGAATGGTCTATCTTTATCAATTAATTTTTATATAAAAATTAGTTGACTTAAATAAATACTAAATAATTTAAATTGTCTACATGTGGGACGGGATCTTGTGAAAATTTCAATAATCCAAACCAAAATTGATAAGAATCCTAAACTAGGATTATATTGTATTGGACTGTATGTATGTACGTACGTACGTATGTGTGTGTGTTTTACTGTGTTACCTTATTATAAATTTTTAGATTCAAATGATTAATATTATATAAATAAATAATCACATCAGTTTAGATTTAATTCAATGAATTACATTAGTTAGAAAAAAAATTCTCCGGACAAAATACCAAATATGGAAATGTCAACCAGCGAATACCGTAGGGATTTAATAATCTTGCTAAATCTGAGCCAGACATCAAGTTGACTTTTTATAAAGAAGGTGCCGACCCTTAGGCATCGTGTAATAATTTAATTAATTAATATTCTGAATGAATACTTGTAATATATATATATATATATATATACATATCTATTATTGAAAATATTGAGTAAAATATTCCATTGATGCAAAAAAATTGAAAGAAAACTTTAGTTTTGGCAAAAGAAAAAAATATATAATATTTTTGAAAAAATCGAGCTCATAAAGAATTATTTTGTTTTCAAGATTTTGAGCGATTCAAACTTAATTTTTATCCATTTACTATCCGTATTTGATAACAAATCATTCATAAGATTCTAGATTATAATTCTGGCATCTTAATTTTTTAATAATTTAATGATTTCGGTTTTTACATAAAGATAAATAATTACACTCTGTAAAAAGTAAAAATTGTATATATATTTATTTAAAAATAAAAATCTACACAATAATATAAAAATAAAAATGTATAAGGCCTAAAAGGCTGTCAATTTTCGATATGTTTATCATCAGAATTTCCAGTAAAATCTTGCACGCGACAACACCTAAAACCTCTCTCGAACTTGATCGATCGATTTTGTGTCGGGTTATCGGGTCATACCTTCGCCGGTGATTTCAGATCGCTTCCGACGGGCCAAATCCGTTGTACTCTTCTCTCACAGGTAGTAATCTCTCTCTCTACCTCTCATTCTCTCTCTCCTAACTTTCCATGCCTATGGTCAAGTTCGTGACTGTCATAAAAAAAATGTTCGCGACTTTACTGTTTCGGGTTGTGAATTCGTGTTTTTATCTTTTATCTGGGCATGTTTTAATGCTTTCGGATTTCTGGGTTACGTTAAGTTTTTGGGGCTTTCCTTTGCTCTTCATTCGGTTTAAGGTTACGTCCACCAGGTGTTCGTTAGAATTCCTCGATATGTTTGTGAAATCTTTGTTAAATATTAGTAGAGTATCACATTGTTTATGTTGATTCAGTCGAGTCACGATAAGCACAATGGTGTTTGTGAGTTGCAGATGAAGCTGATTGATTAGGGTTTTCCTCAGTTTGATCTTTTTGGATTTGATTTCCTAGATGGGTCTTGCTCGGTGGACTCGAACTCTGTGTCCGAAAAACAAAAGAACGGAACTTCAGTAGCCAGTTTGCTCTTTTTGGATTTGATTTCCTTTCGCAGCTGTTTGAGTTCTGTGTGAATCTCTCTCTCTCTCTCTCTCTCTCTCTCTCTCTCTCTCTCTCTCTGTGCCTCCCAAGATAAGCCTTTTGAAACTTGAATTTGAAGCTTTTGTTATTAATTAGGTTTCTTTTTGTAAGTGTTTGAATAACTCAATGGCCTCAATCCGTTACCAAGATTGATGTATCAGAGAGGGATTAATAGTTCATAAGTTGCATTCTAGTGTATGTATTGACATCTTAAATTTTGATTCTGGTGGGTTTGTGCGTATAGTTTTTAGGTATCAGATTCATGGCTGATAATGCTTAGGTTTCAATCAGAGGTTGTGGTTGTCATTGATTCTGCATTTATGCGTAATGTTTTGGCTCAGCAACCCGAACCAAACTGAACTGTATCTTGTTATAATCAGTTTAATATGGTCTCCTTTCCTTGGCATATCTGCTGGTGTATTACCTTATCTGCTTATTGTTTACTTTTGTATGATTCTTCTCATATAGGTAACTTTGCCTTGTTCACTTATTTTGCGGGTAGAATCCCTTTTGGGTTTCGATTTGCGGGGTCGTAGTAGCTCTGGAACCTTCTCTAATTGTCTCTTTAAGCTTAGAACTTCCCAGTTTTGTCTGGTTCTTTTGTAACTGATTGTTTATGTACATTGTTTATTTGTCTGGACTCTGAACCAGTATCTCTGTTTGAATCTTACAGTTTGAAGGAGAACATCTTTCTAGGGTTTGTGCGGTTTGAGGTGCAAATGCCTAAGAAGAATAGTTCTTCGAAAAAACCCTTACAATCAGAAGAAATACCAACCATGGGACATGCAAAACCGGTTCCAAAACCCGGTAAGCTAGGAAAGGAGATCGATGAAATCTTTGGTGGGAAAAAGAGGAGAAAACCAGAACTCGAGAAGAGCGAGAAAAAGACAAATAGAGACGCAAAGCAACCAAACGAAGAAAACCCGGTTCAGAAAACCAAGAAGACGAAGAGGAGGAAAGGAGAGAAGATTGATGGGTTCGGGGCCCCATCAAAGCGACAGAGGAAGAGAACGGAAGATGGGCTGATGGTATACACGGAAGACGAACTCGGTATCAACAAATCTAACTCCGGTGGTACTCCTCTTTGTCCCTTTGATTGCGATTGTTGCTTCTAGATCCCAAAGTTTCAAACTTTTTCAACTCGATATGGTAGACCAGATGAATGATCTTTGATATCCACATTATGATCCTGCCATTGTAGCTCATGTTTGAAAATTGTGTTGCCTTTCTCGCCTCATCATTTGAACGTTGATCATGCTCTAATCATTGTTCAGTTTGGTCCCATGATTCAGTAGGCTTTGGTTTGATTGAAGGGATGATCTACTGAGAGAGTATATGAAACCCAGAATTGGTCATATACCCACCAACCTGTGTTTGAAAACTGGATTCAGACTGATTCCGAGCTTTGGTAAACTGAAATAGATAAAGATCTTCCAACAACAATCACCAAAAAAAAAAAGAAGCTGGTATCGGTACTCAAAAACTCGACAAACATTCTAAGTTATGTTGTGTCTGCAACCACAAAAGTCTCAAACACACACTCTTCTCCTTTACATGGCATTTTCAACCACAAAGACACATACATAAAAAAAAAAAAAAAAAAAAAAAAAAAAAAAAAAGATGTCCCAAATTTTATTAGATAAAAATTCTCAAGTCATTTTGGGAGGGAAACAAAAAAAAAACAAGGGGAATGGGTATATATAGCATCACTTGGTCCACCAGTGGAGGAAATCCTTGCGGCGGTTGATCTTCTTCTGAAGCTGGAGGAGACCATAGAGCAAAGCCTCGGCAGTTGGAGGGCAACCCGGGACATAGATGTCGACCGGTACAATCCTGTCACATCCTCTGACCACCGAGTAAGAGTAGTGGTAGTATCCTCCTCCATTCGCACAGCTTCCCATCGATATCACCCACCTCGGCTCTGGCATTTGGTCATATACCCTGTCATCCATTCCCATGTCAGAAAACATTAGAATATCATACTCGACCTATTCCCATGTTAGCCTATCTAGACAATATTCACAAGTTGTCACCACCTTTCAGATAAATCTCATATCTGCTCCTCCCTATCATGTTAGCCTTTTTGTTATAAACCCATAATCACTATCCCTTTTGTTAGTACACCGGCATGAAACTTTGTGCTTTCGCTGAATTTACAGCTTATGGTAATGGGTAATGGTGTCATGAGCTTCGGTTAGGAACCCACAACATTCCTTATGCCTAGCAAATTCTCCCAAGTGTCATGAATAACAAAGACTAATAGCTTTCTTCTTGATATCAAGCCGTCTTGCATCATCTTCTCCATTGGTTTAAACCCACACTCCATACATCTACGAAGAAAATAAATGAAATTCAAACATCTAGTAGTTCCAGTTTCCTACAGTCTACCAGAACTGTGAGCACTATACCATCAAAATCCATCATTTTCAATAGACACATAAGACCTCCATGACAAACAAGCAAAGACATAATACAAGATCCTAAACACTCAATAAAGAAACTACAAGTAGAATAAATAAAAGTCCGTCAGTGTCAATGCTACTTCCCGGTAACACAAACGTTCACAACCAGCTGAATGAACACTTAACACCCAGATTTCAACACAAAGCAGCAAGGTAGACCATCCCAAAAGATCAATCTTCACCACAAAACAAGCACACTCTATCACTCTATCATCCCTGATTCTTACCTATTATAATTTTAGAATGTAAGAAGTTTAACGGCGCTCTTAATCACCGGTAGTTGCCCCATTACCTTTTGAAATTGTTCTGTCAATGTTAACAGACTAGTTATCTTATCTTTTCTGCCTCTGGCTTTCGTTTTGTTCTTGTTCTTAAGGTTTGAACTGATCAGTTTCATGGAATACAACCCAAATTTGTTCCAATCCTATCTTTCTCCTTCAGATTTCAACATTACACAACAACTACTGGACCCTGGTGCTAAAGCCCCAACCGAAAACAAATGCAAATTCAGGATTTTATGCATTAGACACCAAATTAGAGCATAATGTCAGGCTAGGACACGAGCTTCCTCCAGATACATAAGTTTTCCACCGGCCCAGCAAGAAACGAATCAGGAGACCTAAACCCTAAATTTCATGTGTAGCAATACGGAAATCGAGAGATAATCCGCACCGAAATCCTCAAATTCATTCGTCAACAACCCTAATCTCTCCAAGACCATCAGACAGAATGATCCAGATTCAAAAAAATTAAATGAATCAAAGATTAATCTCAGACTCGCGAATCAAATCTGCTTGACGAGAGAGAGAGAGAGAGGCGTACTTGCGAAGAGCCGGAGCCATCTTGTTGGTGAGCGTTCCGGCGACAATCATACAATCAGATTGACGAGGACTCGGTCGGAAAATGATGCCGAACCTGTCGAGATCGTACCGCGCCGCACCGGTGTGCATCATTTCGACGGCGCAGCAGGCGAGGCCGAAGGTCATCGGCCAGATCGATCCTCGACGAGCCCAGTTCATCAGATCGTCGACCTTGGAGATCACGAACTCCACAGGCTTCGAGAGCCCCGTCGGCGAGCCAGGAGTGGCAGGAGGACCGGGCCTGGCATAGGAAGCAGGCGACGTCGTCGAGGAGAGAGAGGGAACGGTAGTGTGGAGGTGAGCGACCGCAGCGGCGCGTGAGGGCTGGAGGAGCGTGGGGAGGCGCGTGGCGGCGTTGCGCGTGATCATCGCCATTGTTTCGAGCTTGTTTCCTCGCGTCTTGGAGATGAAACAGTCTCAAGATGAAATATAGTTTGAGCCTGAGGCGGTGAAGATATATATACACGTATCGATTTATATATATATATATGCGAATGTCCAATGCCCAATGTTAAATTGGGTCGGTCCATAATAGCATTGATAGGACCGGTTTGGTCAGTTTTTTGTTACAATATTTGTTATTGTTTTTTCCGCCTTTAGACTAAAAACATAATATTAAATTATTAATTATAGAAGTCAGAATTCCAACTATATAGATAATTAGATATCATAAATATTAATAGAGATTAAACTGTTAAACTTTATTTTTTATATTTTAAATTGTTGAAGGAAATGTCTTTTCTACTTAAAAAAATGTGTGATTTATAAAAAATCAAAATGTATAATAAAAAAACTAAAACGGAGAATAGCAAAAACAATAACCCCAAAAATTTGTTTGTTTTGAGTTTTAATAACTAAATTTTCATTTTAGAAAAAAAAGTCGTAACTATTTAAATTAAAACACAAAACAATATATGATGTAACTAAAATCATCTTAAAAATCCAAACTAAAGCATGTTAAAAATAGTCTTATTAATATATTTGATTATATATCTAAAAGTATGAATATGTCGGCCTGTATGTATGTGAATAACTATTGATATATTATGTATATTCAAAATAAGCAAATATTTTATGAATCGTATATAAACACACATGTAGTATTATACGATTGATTAAGAATATTGTTGAGGTAATTCATGTAATTACTATATAGATCTCATTCATCACACATAATGGACACCAAAAACTCCATTTTATATATTCTACTCTTAGTTTTTTGAAGAAAATAATTGATATATACTTATGATATTTGGATCTTGTGAATTTTAATGACATTTGAAATATTTTACATTTTTTAAGAATTCATTGAACAATTTCACATTTTGAATATTTTTTTTTCTTTACAATAGTATAATTCGAAATAAACCTGGGGAATAGGAAAAGAAATGAAAAATCGAATCTTGAATCATATGTATTTTCGGTAGTTTATAGGTCAAAATCGTAAATATTTTTATTTTGAATTTGATTTATATTGTTATAGAACATGAAAGACAAACCCAAATTAAATTCGTTCCTTGTCCGGTTCGGTTAGATTTGAATTTTCTTTAGACATACTTTTTGTAATCAAAACAAATACCAATGACAGTCTTTAAAAACATTTGTAGTTTTGAATACAAAGTATTCAAATTCAATCAGAATGTGTAAAGAAATTAACTTCACATAATATAATATTTTTTCAGATGATAAGTTTCATCAATTATTAATTTGTTTTTACATAAATAATCTATTTCAATAAATTCCCAAAATCTTAGTTTGAATAATTTATTTGACATTGACTTCACTTAGTTTTTTCTTCAATCTTAAAACGAAATAGGATTATGGTAGATAATTAAAGTCATAATGATCTATTAATTTTTTTATTACCCTAGAAAATCTTATATATAACTCAAAAGGCTTCAAAGCTATTTTCATCCATTCGCATATAACATATATAAATTAAACAATTCGAAGCATCAAAAAATCATGTTTTCTCGTCTGGCCATTGTTTGCATAATCATCATCTCTCTCTTTCATCACCATCAATGTATGATTTCTTTTATTGATATTTTATTTTGTATATCGTTTTTATTTTAATATTTTATGATTTAAGTTGTGATATTATGATTAACTTATAGAATGACTAATCTATTTTATCATATTATTATTATTTTTTTTAAAATATAGGTGTGAGAGCAGAGAATAACATTGTTGGAGACAATGGATCAAAGAAGATAATATTGGGAAAATGTATTAAAGCATTCTGCAGATCGCTATTCAAGAAAGATTGTTATTGTTGTTACAACGACAGAAACAATTGTTGGACCGACCAAAGAACATGTGAGAATAATTGCCCTAATTCTATTTCATTGTCTCCTAAATCTATCTAAATTTATGTATTTCTCTCCTAATCCTATGGTTTGAGAGATTTAAATTCTTATAATTGGTATTTTCTGATTACGAAATCTATGTTCGATGTTATCCCATTTGGTTTAAAATTTTCGAGTTGGTGTCAATTCAAAATTTATGAGTTAGTGATGGTTTAAGTCAGGTCTAAATCGAACCAACTCGTTTTACATTCTATCAAAAGTTAAAACATTAATACATTATAATGATTATTAATTACAACAAAAATAAATCCACCGGTAACATGTTACATTGAACTCTATGTAAGAAAAATAGATAAAGGTTATGGGGTATAAATAAATAAATAAATTTATTCATATTTTTCCATAAAGTCCTCTCTCCGTGTAGACATTTTTTGGGGGGTTGAATCTATAATGCCATAGTGGAATACACATCGAATTTATGATCTATGACCGACAATTTATTTTAATTTATATTTAATTTTTCGAGCCAATCGAGCCGACGGTTTGTATCACAATGACCAAAAGAAAAATAGTAATGGTTATTATTTTATATAAATTATGTAAAAAATAACAGTAAAAATATACTTAGAAGATCTGGCATGCATACATGATACATGTATATTGGATTTCATAATTTTCTAGTCTTTCTCTAACTAAAAATATCAAGATATGTCTGCATGTAAAAATATTAAATAAATTCCGTGTACGAATATAGTTACGTTGGTAACCAAATGAAAATAATTTAATAGTATTTTACTTGAATCATTTGTAATTAGATGAGTTTTTTTTTTCGATAGTTAAAATATTAAATATTAATTCATATTTGGATATATATATGTACACTAGAATAATTCTATAGTAATAAACGCTTTAGTATCAATTTATTTACTCGATTTAGTATCTTATTGACATATTTGATTATGTTATGACTACTTTAAGATCTCGATAAAAAAAAATTACTGATATTTAATATATTTTGATTATCTAAAAAGTGCAAATATGTTGGCCTGTATGTGAGTAAATAATACCAACATTACAAAGGGCAGCCCAGTGCATCCCCTTCATATTATATATATATATATAATCAATGTAATAAACATGTATATTCGAGAAAACTCAGGTGTTCCTACATGTTTTTTTACGAGTTTATAACTTATATCACATATATATATATATATATATATATATATATGAATTTTGTCGGTGATATAGATATCTACATATATATATATCATGTGTACAGGGTGCTAACTTAAGTAACATCACACGTGCTCTTCATTTAATCACCCAATTACAACTCACTTTACATTTATTTATTTAATCACTTATTTATTGATTATTCCCATATAATTTTTTTATTACTTAATTGTATACAACATAATTAATTAATACCTAAATAAATTTGAACTATCTTTTTATTTAATTTACCTGAACATATTTTCCAACAACATTTCTAAATTATTATTTTCTTAATAACATAATATATTAGATTATGATATAATTTAAATTTAGAAATTAATAGGATTATGCGAATATTGTAGCGACAAAAAATATTAATTAGTTTAATTCATCTCGATATAATTATTTGATTTTTTATTTGAACCAATAAAACTTAAAATTAATTAAGTACGTAGAAAATAATACAATCATCATTAATTACCCTTTGTTTAGTTGGAATATCATATCACCCGTTTTGCTGTTGACTATCAAAACAATAAAATACTTTGAATGTGGATATCAATTATTATATAGATTTAGAAACGATAATTATATTCTCAAATGTGAAATTTTAAAAACAAAAAATCAACTAAAAACTAAAAAACTCTTTTTTTTTACAAAAAAATCAAAATTTAAAATCTAAAAACCAAAAACCAAAACCAAAAATTGAAAATAAAAATTATTACCATTCAAAGCCGCATGCATTTTTCATAATTTATGGATTTCCATTCAAGCAAATCGGAACTTGGAAGGTTTTTACTCTTGTTGTTGGGTGCCGATGACGTGTAAACGTACCAACTCAACAAGAAAACGAACATGTGCGTTTTCACCCGCATGCAATGGGCCCCGTTTTCTGCAATTGAAAACCGCACGGTGTTTCCCATCTAAATGAGTGGAAAGAAACGACGAACAACTCGTTTGTCAAAATCAACGGCTCAGATTTATCCGATCGCCAAAAGTTCTCCTTGGCCAACCTATTGGTCAAAAAGTCAACACACGTACACTTTTTTTTTTTTTTTAAAAAAAAAGCGGCTTCTTTGTTTTCAGCGCTTGCCTTGTACTACAAAAATGTCCAATATTTACCCCATAACGTATGATACTTACACTTAATACTCCATGTTTCAAGTGCATATTTATATACTAGGGCTAACATTACAAATCTCATTTTCAGAAGATAAATTTAAATCATAAAATCTTAAAATTAGAACAATTTTAACAGAAAACTATTGATTTTGGACTAAAATACCATTCAACAAAACATATATATATATATATATATATATATATATATATCATCTTAACTTGTCCATTTTTATTCTATTATCTTTTTTTAGTTTTTTTTCAATTTTTTAGTATTAAAAACAGTGAAAAATAGAGAACACAGGTTTTTAGTCCTTTTCTACTTAATTTTTTTATGGGAAAGAGAGATGTAGTAATCTAAGATTTTTTTAGAAATAAGACAAATATGGGATGAAATAAGAAAATATATATATTTTTTTATTTTTATGTAAAGCTTCTACGTTATTATTTTCTTAAATTAACATATAAATAAATAAAAGAACGATGAGTTTAAGGAATCTAAATAATTAATAATGATGCATTAATTTGATTTATCAAGAAATATGGGATGAAAATTGTGAATCGTCCTAAAAAAAACTGTCGGTCGGTTAACCAAGGTTAACCTGACCAGGGTATCAAGTTAGGCCTTGTGATTTTGGGTCCTACATTAACCAGAGCGGATCGTCGGTGACTCAGTACGAGTCGTGCACGAGTCGTCCTGGTTATTTAAAATATATTGCGAAGAGAAACTCATCGGGTTTTCACTGAGAGAGAGAGAGAGAGAGAGATTTTGGTGTAAAAGGCCATGGAAGGCATTTTGAAGTCAGATATATAGAGGACGATAGACAAATGGCGGATTCGAGCGATTCTGTTTCCATTGATATGGAGGCATTGTCTCTCGGACAGGTAAATGTCGTATGAGCTCGTGGTCTAAGAATTTTCTGGTTTTTGTTTGGTTACTGAGAAAATGCGGGAATAGACGATATGTAAAATGATCCTCGCCATTCTTATCCTTTTTCTTGTATGGATGTTTTTCTGAAAGTCCGTCGTCGTATGGGCTGCTCTCTTCTAGATATGCGAACAACTGGAAAATATATCTTTAGAAATTTCATTTGTCTTCCTGGGTTGTAGGTTTGATTTCGACCAGCCGCTTTTAGGATTTTCTGGAGTTGTTTGGTTGCCGAGAAAATGCGGGAAAATTTGGATGACATGTTTGTGTTTGCCAACTTTATCGCTTAATTATTGTTTAGAGCTGATATTGAAACGTTATTTGTTACCTGGCATGTTTTCATGGAAGAACATGCGGATTTTCCGATAATCTGGTCAATTTTATCTACTCCACGTTTGAATTTGAGCTACAGAGATTCGTACATTCTGGAATTTGGTTGTCGTCACGTTTGCTTCGTTCCATGTACCTTTTTGTTCGGATCCATTTGAAGATCCATGCACATCGTATAATCACGGACCAAGTGTGAATCCAAGTTCGGATGAAATTCTTGAAGCATGAATTACTTGTTGTTCTATGCACTGAAGTAGTAAATTCTTTGTTTTTCATTTGAAAAACGCGTCTTCTTGTTCTTCTGAGGTTTTTGTCTTTTGTTTTTTTTTCTTTTACTCATATGTTTGTCGAATTTCTAGCGAAATTGGTGTTTCATCTTGTGGTTTTAGATTCTTTTTTTTTGTTGGTCGATTTGAGAGGATAATTTTTGTTTGAATGTTGCTGGTTTTGCTTGGTTTTTTTAATGGGAAAATGGTGTTTCTTTTCTAGTTGGTGGCTGGTCAATTTTCTTTTCTAACCGGAGACAATGGAAGTTTTGGTGTATGGTCCTAATCTTGTGTCCAATCCCCGTTTCCCTGAGGGTAATTTGCTAATTAATTGAACCTTTTTGTTGACAGGAACACCTTGTGAAAACTAATCATGGCCCTGTATGCGTTGCCGTATACGGAGATCCAGACAAACCGGCTCTTATCACATACCCAGATGTAGCTCTAAATTGTAAGCATATACTTTACATGTCTTCCACCGTATTTATTGATATGAGCCATAATTAGAGTAGCTCTGAATAACAAAGTAATCGCCATTACGTTGTATTGACACTTGGTGCTGTCTTTTTGAGCAGATATGTTCTGTTTCCAAGGATTATTCTCTTGTCCAGAAGCAAGCTCCTTGCTCCTCCACAACTTCTGCATATATCATATAAATCCTCTGGGCCATGAGGTTGATAACTTTAGTTTGAAAGTTGTGACTAACCAAGTTTGTGTTTGCCTACTGTTAATATTATTTGTTCCTTTGACGATACACTATATATCTCTTAATATATCGCTTTCTTTAAGGGCCATTGCAGTTGGGAGCCCCTTCGATCTGCTTGGATGCTCCTTCGCTCTCGGTCGATGATTTAGCGGACCAAATAGTCGAGGTTCTTAACTATTTCGGGTAGATACAAATCTCGATTACTTTCACCTTCGATCCCAGTTTCATATTCTTTTTTTTTCTGCCCTGCTGCTAGTATTCCTTGGGTTAGTCATCTAAAAAGCACTGTAAACTGATTCGTACTGCAAAATTTAATATTTAGAGCTGCCTTCATATCTTTCTATCCTTTTTTAGTTTTAGACTACATAGAAGAAATGACAAGTTTTTGGGTCTTTTTTAACTTTCTCTTTGCTTTGTCGACTCTTTTTCCAGACTTGGCACAGTAATGTGTATGGGTGTCACAGCGGGTGCTTATATTCTGACGCTGTTTGCTGTGAGTGTCTGTTGTCCTTTGATCAGGATTTGTGCTATAATTGCTGTTTCCCTTGCTCTTCAATTCTAATATTCCTTAAAGCTGCTTCTTCCGGTTGGATATTTACTTGTTACGCTCTTATTTTCCTTGCCGGTAGATGAAGTACAGGCAAAGAGTTCTTGGTTTAATACTCGTCTCTCCACTGTGCAAAGCACCTTCGTGGGCAGAATGGTTGTACAACAAGGTCCTCCTCCACTAAGATTATTCTTTTTTGCGATCGATTTGTGCCCTTCTTTCTCTAATTCTCATATCAGAGTTCTAATTTAGTGCAGGTTATGTCCAATTTACTTTACTACTATGGCATGTGTGGCGTGGTTAAGGAATTGCTACTTAAACGATACTTCAGCAAGGTATAATATGATTTCTCATATTTGCTCGTATAAAACAGTTAAGAGTCGGCCAAAATCTCGTGTGTGCATGCACATCCACATAGTTTGGCATTGACTTAAGTGTGCATCTATGTTACCAGGAAGTTCGTGGTAATGCTCAAGTTCAAGAATCCGATGTCGTTCAAGAATGTAGAAGAGTTAGTATTTTCCCTCTCTCTTGCATCCTTCGGTGATGTTGTTGGAAGCTCATATCTAGATTAACCCTCGAAGTTGCATTAAGACTTAAAACAAGAAAATATGTGGAACTCATATATTGTGTTTGTTCCTTCTTCAGTTACTTTGTGAGCGGCAGAGTACAAACGTGTGGCGATTTCTCGAAGCAATCAACGGGTAATCCTTCTATTTCCTCAATTGGCAGAAAATTTCGTTTTTTTCAGTCCATGGTTAGGCCATTAGTAGAGACTAGAGAGTAACATGGAATTTACCATTCCTGAATACTCGTCTGAGTCAGATTCGTTGTGCATGGACTTTATTACACAGGAGAGTAGACCTAAGCGAAGGGTTGAGAAAACTGCAGTGCCGATCATTAATATTCATAGGGGAGCATTCTCCTTACCATTCCGAGGCCGTCCACATGACAACCAAACTCGACAGACGGTATAGCGCCTTAGTTGAGGTACGTGCCTATATCATTTCTCTTCTGTTTCTTTTCCTGATGGCATAAACAAGGGAAAACGACGAAGTTGAAACTTTAAATGGGATCTAGATCAACCCACAACACATTTGAAAGAGTGGATCCATTTGAAGATCCATGCACATCGTATAATCACGGACCAAGTGTGAATCCAAGTTCGGATGAAATTCTTGAAGCATGAATTACTTGTTGTTCTATGCACTGAAGTAGTAAATTCTTTGTTTTTCATTTGAAAAACGCGTCTTCTTGTTCTTCTGAGGTTTTTGTCTTTTGTTTTTTTTTCTTTTACTCATATGTTTGTCGAATTTCTAGCGAAATTGGTGTTTCATCTTGTGGTTTTAGATTCTTTTAGTGTCTAAACGAAAACACCATACTAGTATGTGATCTAAAACAGCACAAACCCGCCTAGAACGCGGGATCTAGAAGGCGAGTTTCGACAAAAGTTCACGCTTTTTAAATCGGATAGGGGTTGAGAAATGGGGAAAAAAACATTTTGGCAGGTACAAGGATGCGGGTCATTGGTGACGGAAGAGCAGCCGCAGGCTATGATGATACCGATGGAGTATTTCATGATGGGGTACGGAATATACAGACCAACGCAGAGTGTGAGCCCCAGAAGTCCATTGAGCCCCACCCGTATCTCCCCTGAGCTTCTGTCCCCTGAAAGCATGGGCTTGAAGCTCAAACCCATCAAGACACGTGTCCCCATCTCCTAATATTATCCCCTTCCCCCCCCAAAAAAAAAAGTAACCAACACATACATGCATATCAAAATAAGAACAGCAACCACTACTCCGGCCTCTGCATATGCCTTCATATACATGTCTCTCTGTGTGTGTGTATACACGCAGCAATATGCGTTTGATAAGTCAGTTGTGGAGGTGTTGTGTTAGCGTTGTTTCTGCGTGTCAGATACAGGCTGTGGATATAGAGAGGGGGTCAATATACATGTATAGGGAAACAGAGAGAGTGAGGGTCTTGGGGGATGAGGAGGGATATAATAAGGTCATGCTAGAGAGAGAATATATATATATATATATACACACACAGGTGATAGGTATTTTTGTTATGGACGATGATGATGATGATGTTGATGAGTTATTGTGTAAATTCTCTCAATTAATAAAATCCATTGTTAGAGCCCCTCTATCACTTCAGTCAGAATAATCATATCAAACTATTCTTCATATTTCTTCCGCATAGTATGCATATATGGATTATATATATAAATACATATAATATGCTCGTAAGATTATAGAAAGAGTTTCAAATCACAACATGACTGATCGTCGATTCCGAGATTAGTCTAAATATTGACCAAAGATACTCGGTTATCTTAAAAAAAAGATTATGAAACGAGTTTGAGAAAAGAAGCAAAACTTTGATACAAAGGAAGGAGCGAGACAAAGAGCTCCGCAAGTTTGTCCACACCAAAAACGAAAACACACAATTAGGGACCAGAGGGGCTCCCTCCCCTCCTTTCCAAACACCCAACCCCCCCACAAGAATACAAAAAATAAAAGCCCCTAAAAGAATTTCTCCCAAAAAAAAAAAAACTGAGACAAAAGATCAACATTTTTCAGGATTACATGAGAAAGACGGGAACAAAAAAATGATAATTACAAAGAGGGAAAGTGAGCCCTCGTTGCGGAACAAACAGAATGGACACAGAACAACCAAATAATAAGTTAGGACAAGTCTTGGAGGCTGAGATGCTGTCTTTGGAAGACACATACTTTTATATGTGCGGTTTTTTCTTCTCAGGTTTAATTCTCACTTCTTCGGCGCAGCAGTCAGCTGCCAGCATATACAAATATGATTTCACAAAAACTGCCATGGAACCTTCATTCATCCGTCTGTCTGTTTTTTCCATCGGATGAAGGGCCAATCCTTATGGAAGGGAGGGATTTCTACGAATTGTGGGATTGGTGAGGCATCATCAATATCCGTTGTTTCCCGCTCTCTGACCGCATCACTTCTACTTTCATACCCATCTGCCAGTTTCCAGCAAAAACACCATCTGAATCAGCTCTACTTTCAAAAAGTTAACCAACTAATTAAGCCAAGCAAGAACGTGGAAAAACAATAGGAGGTGCGGAATTCTGTGGCACAATGCCAAAATTCTAGTGATTTCAGTTTAGGTCTGAAGCAATGGTAGAATGTCACAAACCAATTTTCTTTGTTATTATTATCATATGCTATGAGTAGAAAGGAAAAAAGTGAATACTCGAGTACACAAACGAGTTTTTACTTGTAAGAAACTCACTGGCTTGTAGGGTTTGCTATATATATGTATATGAAGCTAGGTAAAAAGTATAGTTTTACCTCGACAGAGCTGTCTGGAGCAAACCATCTTAACAAAATTCCGAGATGCACAACGGCCGGGATGAATTTGAAAAGCAGAGGCGTTGTAACCTGCCAGAGAACCATATATCACATATTTAGCAGAAACATTAAGTTGCTAATGCTTATGTGTGTATCATTCGATATATAAATATATAGACAGGAGACAAGAAAAATGATCTTATCATACCAGGCTTAGAGCGGTTGTCCCCAAGAGGAGGAGGTAAAGTCTCCCCTGAAATGGTTCAAAGGTCAACTCTCTTTAGATAGTTAATCTCGACACCGAGGTTTGAGAATTTTTGCCTGACAAACACAGTAGAACAAAGAGTTATTCGCGTTACCTCAATGAGGTGAAGATTGGAGGCACGGCTAAGGAGAACAAAGGCAAATTCCCCAATCTGAGCCAGAGACATTCCAACCTGCATGATTTTGAATTAGACTAGACACAGTGGAACAAACCAGATAGAGGAGAAAAGGCAGCATGATCACAAGCAATTCAAACAAAACCTTACCAGCAGTGCCGTCTTGTTGTTGTATCCAAACCCCTTAACAACTGTTGTAACTATTGTTGTCTTTATGATAACTACTAATATAACAGAGGCCAACAGTATATCGACATGGTTCCAGAGGAAATGAACATTTATCAACATCCCAATGCTGGCCAGGAAAAGTGCAGCAAATAAATTGCGGATGGGTTCAATCTGAAGAAACAAGGAAGCATCCGAATAAGATCAAGGATAATTCAATCGAATATTGCTTCTCATTTGGAATATTAATAACTCAAATGCCTCCTCGAGCTAGAATTGAATTTCATGACTAGCTTCATGTGTGGAGATTTGAATCTTGTGAAAATATTTCCTGGTCATAATATCAAACCTAATATCAGAATCCAGATGATGACTCTACTTCTTTTTTATGCTCGGAGCACATTTAGAATAGTTTGGAAATGAGAAAAAGAAACTCAAGTTACTAGCAAAATTTCTGCCTCTGTCAACACACCGGAAAATTGTGGACCTTCACTGACGTGGGAAAAACTTACTTGCTCCAATGTGTGTTGAGCGAGATCAGTAGTTGATATCATAACTCCAGCAGCAAAAGAACCTAGTTCAAGACTTAAGCCCAACTTATCACTACACTGAAAGCACACAAGAGCAAGTCAGATGAACATGCTCATCAAATGCTTTCCAGAAATACACCGAATGGGAAAGATGATAAGAAAATTACAAAAAGGCAAGTCAGGAAGAAAAAAAAAAGGCGGAAAAGAAGGATGATGCTCACCCAGGCTACAAGTAAGCAAAAGGCAACAGAGGCTAACTGATAGAGTTCATTTGTCTGTGCAAAAACAAAAGATCAGTATACAACTTCACAACCGCTTGACCATAAGATGAGAAAGAAGAACATCGCCAATTGAGACAAAACACAAACCTGTGAAGATAAGCTGATCATTAACTTCAGTGACCAAGGAACACATGTCCGCGATAACATTGTCAAAACAGCCAAAAATGCAAGCAACACTACCACCCTGAGAACAAAGTATAACTAGCATGGCTTAACAAAAAGATTCTCTTGGATACATCCAGACGGAAATATTGTGCTCTGTTTTGCTTACAGTTTTGCCATTGATAATACTCCTTGAAGAATGCCAGAATTTCCACGAAGAACAGGAAGCAACGCAAACAACAAACCCACAGCACAATCCTAAAAAGCAACGTGATATGCAGAATATAGAACCAATTGAATATGCACCGTAACAAGTCACTGGTTGACACTATGTAATTAAAATATGGGCTGGGAACACTGGAGGACTTATGGTGATGAGAACACAATCAGATACCTGTAGAATCAGGGTTCCAATCGTAACTTGGCCATGAAGAGAATTTGTGGTGTTTTTCTCCATGAGAAACTTCAGCACCTACGGTTTCCAGGCAGGATAACAGACAAGCATGATGATTAGAGGACCAACAACTACACCAAGTAGAGACATCAATGGCGATGAATAAGCATAAGTCACAGAATTTTACCACTGCTGTTGATGACATTGACAAAAATGCTCCAACGAATACACCTTCTGAGTGTCTACCACCACACAACTGCAGAAAGAACTGATTATGAATTTGTGACAGTAACTGGTTCCATAGCAGAAAAATAGGGTGCTTTTTGGTACATCTAACTTGATTCTACAAGTCTCTCAGTTCCCATGATACCATACCAGAGAATGGATAGATTATAATAGCATATAGGATAACCAAACCATCGGGATCATACTGTGATAGGTCGAAAGGGAAAAATAGAGATTTGCTGATAGATTTTCACGTACCGACACTGTAATTCCACACAGGAACATAAAAAGAAGAATTTGAAGAAGGCCCCCTAGAACAGCAACTGTCCGGACAACTCTAAGCTGCATAATGAGAGGACAGACACTCAACAGTTTGCTATGGTAACATGGAAAGTTACAAACCGATGCTAAGCAGATATGAAACTATAACCTTACCTTGGCCATGGAGAACTCTAGACCCAGTGCAAAAAGCAGAAATATGACACCAAACTGGGCAACTGTTTCAACCTACATGAAAAAAATAAAGATACATACAAAACTGAAAGCATGAACACAAAATGTAGGATCAGACATCAGGAACATGTTCTCTTCTCTTTTTGGGGTTCTAAAGCTACAAAATTTCTATTCAAATACAAAACAAAACGCCTTTTTATCGATGTAGTCTATAACCACAGAAGAAAAGCATTTATGTTCAAAGACAAATTTGCACCTCTTTGTATGTACATAAGTTCAACCTTTTTCAAAACCATAGAAGAAAGAGATTTCTATAACAAGGAGCCTAAACATAGCCCATTGGTTGGATAATGGATGCATCTCCGTTATTTGAGACCTCAAAACTCAAAAGGCAATAATCACCAAAGTTCCCAGAAGATGAGAATACAACATTCATATCTTATGATAAAAAAAAGTAGCTTACCTGGACCACCTCACTGATAAAGTTCAATCCTCCAGGCCCAATGATTGATCCTGCTAGCAAATATCCAGTTATGACCTGAATAAGTTGAGAATGATTCATCATCCATCAGAACACTGAGACATTCCACTGAAACCTAATTTTCTCATGATTGAAACTATGACTGTAGCTAGAGAAGCAGACCGGCTGTCCAGCACAAGCAAAAGCAATGCCACCACAAGTTGCAGAAACAATAACAACAACCAGATCTGATATCAATCTACATGTCAGAGAAAGAGCAGGTCAGATGCTTCGAGAGTTGGTTATCAAACACAAACACTCTCAACAAAATAAAAATAAAAAAGATAAGATTCTTACCTCAAGTCTAACTGCAAAACAGGATACTTTGACTTGAAATTGGATATGATGAAGACATTGTCCTGAAGAACGACAAATAAGTCATATAACTAAAATACAAGGCCAAACACTGATTGCAGCAAGGAGGCTTACTTTTCGGTCTATCAGAGTCGGAGTTTCCTCAACTCTGTTATCACTATCCAGATTGAAGACATCATGGAGTTTAAATGGCCTATAGAAAATTAGATGTAAAAGATCTTATCTTAGTCTCAGTAAAACAGGCAAAAACCATGTTGGAAGTCTGAAGATATTAAAAATAAAAGGACAACAATTTATTTACTTTTCCTCTTTCGTCTCATTTTTCTTTGACTTTACCCTGGCTACCGTTTCGAGAACAGCCTGAACAACACAAAGATCAAATCCCGTCTTCAGATACTCATACTAAGCAAGCAACAGGGGAAATGATCAAACTTTAATCAAGATTTTACTGTGATGCAAACATAAATGTGAAGATAGTGGTGAAACTTGCTCAAAACCAATATTCGATAGAGTATGATACTTGATTTCCTGATAACAGGTAACTGATAAAAGGGGACCATAACACTAATTCAACTGCATAACAGCGCAAAGAAGAACCAGACCACGCAATTTTATGAAAAAGAAATAGCATCACACATTTTCCTTCTATGGAGGTATTAAAAACCAACCTGTTGTCCCTCGACACTGTTGTTAAAGCTTCCGGGGTCAGCAGCTGCCACCAATATAACCACAAAACTATGATAACAACGAATAATCGTCTCAAATGGGTATGAAATAGGAGAGATAGGAACTAAGATATTTTATGAGAACCCAATAAGAAGATAAATGCCGCTACGTAATCAAGGTCGATCTAGAAGATGTGTACGATACCAATATGGGAGATTGGAGAACACTACAAAACTTCGACTTTGCTATATATGGAAACATAAGCGTCAGATTTCGGCATCTCGAGAGATCAACCTGAGATCCGAATCATACATGAATGACAGATCCAATCCAGGATCTAACTTCTTAACTGTTTAACGAATGAATCAATCCGAGCGAAAAAAGGGGAGGGTATCAGAGGATTGAAGGAAGAAACTCAGAGACAGAAATTGCAAGGAATCCGCTATGGTTGCATGATATCCAGGCTGAATACAGTTGAATTAGACTCTAAACATTTCGGTTTCAATGACCATTTCAACTTTCCCAAAACCAGGAAAACGAGCAATTCAAAAAACCCTAATCCCCAAAATACGAACAGAAACGTCACCTTCATTCTGGTCACTCTCGTTGAACTCCTTCTCGAGGGCGCGGTCGATGATATCAGCAAAACTACCTTCCTTGGGCTTAACGAGGGAAGCGTTGAGGGACGCGACGGAGGAGTTGGCGGCGGTTTCGTCGAGCAGATCCGAGTCGGAGAGGCGGCGAGGAGAGACGACGGAGGAAGAGAGGAGGAGAGAGAGGAGGAGGAGGAGAGCGAGTTCAGGGGAGAGCAACGAACAGGATGATCTCCTCCTTCCTCCCACCATGGCAGAGCCGGCGCAGGATAACCGGGAGAAGCGCAGGATAAACACCCACCGACCCTTAGAGAGAGAAACGGTTTGTCCGTCGATCTCCACACTGCGCAAGTGGGAAGGTGGAGAGAGGGAGCGGAGGAAACAGTGTGGGGAGAGAGAGAAAGGTTAATGGTCAACCAGTGGTCATTGAATTTAACGGGATTTACATTCATATACAAACTTTATATTATGTATATAGTAAATTGCCTTGTGGATTTGGAACCAACACACACACACGCATATATATATATATATATACACGTATAGTGAAAGATGTGGCTGGTAGTTGTTTGAGTCTGAATTTATTTTTTAATCAAAAGTTATTTTAAATTTTGAATTAGGAATAATTAGATATACCAAAGTTTTTTTTACGGGATAGGTTTTATGTCACAAAATCGATATACAAGACAAGTTTTTTAAAAAAATTATTATTTCCTATCTGAACTTTCTCTTTAAAGGAAAATTATTTTTATGTGTTTTGAATAAGATTGATATGATAAGTTTAAAAAAGAAAATGGTTTGATAGTTGAATCTTCTTCGATAGAACAACATATTTTGAACATAATTCAATCTTAAGACGTAGATGAATTCAATGTTTAATAATTTAAGATTTCAGATTCCAAGACTGTCGTTGACTCGTGTGTCGGTCCAATCCAAATTCAAAACCTATTACCATTAGGCTAAAAATATTTAATAATGAAAAAAGATAAAAAAAAAAATAAATCAAGGCAGTTAATACACGGATTCCATTTTTAACTAATACACAAATTATAAAACTAAATCTAAATTTAAAACGCCAACTTTCAAAATATTCTCAAAATCTTTACAACCGTCACCAACGTCTTCTTGATTATAGAATCTAGCAAACCTGTGCCTACGTAACAATCAAATAATCCAATGAAAATATTATCACGTCATTAAAAAAAAATTAAAAAATATATACATATATAAATACACATATATACACCCATATATATGTATGCATATGTATACATGTGCATATATATATATAATTATATATCCATATTTACAAGCACATTTGTACTCGTACTTACTTATATACATGTTTATACAAATATATAAATATACATATATTTAAACATGTTTACATATATGTGTATATATTGGTATGTATAAACATCTATGTGTTTGCATATATGTATGTGTATACATGTATATTTATATGTGTATAAGCATGTACATATGTAAACGTGTATATGTGTTTGTATATATGTATGTGTATTTATAATATATGTGTATGTATAATGTGTGTGTGTGTGTATATATGTATTACGTGTATAAAGATGTATATGTGGATGTGTTTTTATTTTAATCTTTGATCGTGACGACATTTTTATATATAGCAGTTGCCTGCGATTGCTTTATAGACGTTAAGTGGTCGGCTTTTGTAAAAAAAACGTCGTTAATGGTAATGTAATTTTTTTAAAAAAATATTGTTGAAATTTCGTGTTTAAAATCGGGATTTAGAGTAAAATTCGTATATTAAAAAAAAAGCTTTTATAATTTTTTATATTATGCTGGAACCTTTATTCGAATTACTCTATTTATAATGCGATCTTAGCATTTATCTATATTTAAGGTACAATGGCATTATCAAGACAATGATTGCGTGACCGAACGACTAAAAATGCGAAAATTATTTGGTTGCATGTAATTATCGTATTATTATATTAATCTTGCATAGAAATTACAATGAAGATAAAATAAAATCGACCGAGTCTATAGGTGTCACGAATATCGTTAAGAGATTGGACTAACGGGTTAACACAATGTCTCAAGATGCTCAACGTACGTATATTTGTCAAATAGAAAATATTTTCTAAAAAATTCCCACTTGTATAATTATAAAAACTTCTAACTTTAATTATATATCTATATCTATCACACCCAAATTTCGTATCATGTATGCATTATGCATACATGCCACGGCCCAATAAATATAATATATATATATATATAGCTTCAAATTATAATATCTATAATCTATAGTACGTACACAAGAACTACATGCAAAGGGAATTTCATGTTTGCCCTAAAAGTAGAATTTGATTGTTTAAAGCACAATATGATCATATATATATGTTCAGTTTACGAGCATATTTATACGGTAATATACACAATGACAATAATACCCTTATGTAGCCTAACCTTGGAACTATAGTGCTGGATTTGGCTGCATAGTTATCAAGCCTTTCCCTGAGAGGTTCTCTATGGAATCAGCTATTACTCTCGCACTCGACTTCATGTACCCTCCTGAAACATCATCATCATCATCATCGTCAACGTCACCATCACCATCACCATCATCACTACCATCGCTTTTATTCAAACTCGTGTTTAACGTTTTGATTCATTCTGATACGAGAATTCAGAGAGAATACTCAGTCGAGAAGAGAAATGGAGAAGGAAACATACCCGAAGTCAGCATTACAAGAGGGATTTCTCGATCACGGGCGAATCTGAAGACTCTCTCGTCTCTTCTTGTTACGCCTTCCGGGCTTATCTGTAACACAATGCGAGATGATCAGATCATGTAACTCAATTCGTTTCTGAACAAAGATCACACTTTTTTTCTTCAACGAGATCAGTAATGAAAGCTCGGGCGTTTAACCCGATATATGTTTACGTGAAAGCGAGCAATATACCGAGGTGAAAGTATTTACCTTTAGAAGTCCAAGTGGGTCTCCGTCTAGAATATCTGTTCCAGCATTGTAAATTATCAATTCTGGTTGAAAGTTTCGTGAAGCAACCTATAACACCGCATCATAGATCGCAATCAAGGTTTGCAAGAGGATGCATGCGTGCGTGTGTGTATACAGTATATATGTGTGTGTGTGTGTGTGTGTTCATTTATCGAATAAGGGATGAAGGGTCAGGGGTGAGGAGGATGTTCCTGAGGCAAAGACGTACGGTAATTACGGCATTGGAATTTCAGATAAAAATCACCAGCCAATGCTCTCTTATGATCATATATTTGTGAGAGTAATGGAATATTTACTGGATCCTACAACCATATAAAACCATTAAGCCAAAAGAAATGTGAAGAGAAAGCATACCTCGAGGGCTTCATCTAGCTTCCTCAAGTACTCGTCGGTCTTGGTCCCGCTCTGTTAAGATATGAGGAAAGTGGAAACGATTCTCACGCGACAAGAATGATAAAAAAATTACGTTCCATCTACGAAAGAGGCGAGCTTTACCATCACTTCGACCTTCTGATCAATAAATCTCCTAGCTTCATAATCCTAGGAGGAAAAAAACGAATCAATATCAAACCATGAAATCGAATCAAGCTCTTAGAAAGAATGGAGATGACATCGAGGGAGCATAGTTCCAATTTCCAAAGAAGACAGCTTACCAAGGGGTATATCCCGGGGTTATACATATCTAGAATATAAACTCGTCCTGCAGAAGAAGACTTATTACTTATAATCGGTCTTCCGAACAGCATCAAGACAAAAATCATCATGAACAACAACAAAAAAAGCAGGTCCATACTGTCATGGGCAAAGTCTGTTTCGTGGCCATTCCCTTGATGAGCATCGAGATCTATTATCATCACCCTGTAGATATATTTTTACAAAGTCGGGAATTAAGGGGCAATCTGACAGAAGCAAACCAAAAACCGTAGGACAAAAACTCACCTGGATAGACCTAAACGGACAAAGGAATACTGAATACAGAGAGAGATATCTGCATAAGCACAAAATCCACCTCCTCTTTCAGCAGAACAATGATGAAATCCCCCTCCAACGTTTATTGCCCAACCACGCTCTTTCGCAAGCTTCGCTGCCAAAATCGTTCCTCCAACCTGTCATGCAACGACTGTTGTAATCCTTCAAACGGGCCAAAATCTCGGAAACCGTCAAGAATCGAGGGGAGACTATACCTGCTTCCGGAACGGGTAAAGAACTTTCTGCTGCACAAGACAGTTTGGAAACAAACCAACTGGTGGAACCTATACATTATAAATCCTCTTTAATCAGTTAAAATTCAGTGCTTAAGCAAAAAGAGAAGCAAGATTTCACAACAGTTACCGAATCTTCTTTGTGGCAATATACAGAAAGTAGATATATCTTCCATGGAACCAATAACCGAAACCAATCATCGGCTATACCCAGCATACGTATCGTTGATCATGATAAGGAGCATTCACCTCAGTTATCATGGCGACATTTCCACTGCTTTTCAGGCTGTTCAAGTATGTTTCGGAATGTACCTATTGAAGAGTAGCCAGTCAGGAAAGCCGAAGAACCATGAGACTTTCACAGATCTCTCTATGCAAAGAAGCATCGTGTCGAGTAATGGCAGCAAGTCTGATAGTTTGCAGGGTTCACATAACTAAGACAAGCAAAAATTACCACTAAGAGATCATCCTTGGAAGCTTCAAGAGGCTCAACGATCGATCTCTTCTCCAAAAACCCATCCGAAACAAGGAATTGACAAACTCGGCCCCATTTGGAAGAATCAAATGGGTGCCTGCCCAAATCAGATTGCAATATCAGAATCACGCTAACACCTACACTGAAAGAGAATTTTCGCAGAATCCGATGATCCGAGATCATTCCCAAACCCAGAAATCTCGAAGAATTCAGAGAAGCAGTAACGAAGAATTCAATTCAAAGGTTTGGTAACAACGTAAAATCTCCCAATAAGCAAGAAAAAGTTGAAACGTATATAAACAAAATCAATCTAGGAATACTCACAATTTCTCAATCCCCATGAACGAGATGTCGTAAGCGGATGAGTAAATCACCGAAACCTGTTCGATCGAGAATTTCTCAGCTCAAACGTATGTACACATTCACGCACACACACAATTATACATATGTATTGAAGCATATATATATGTGCGCGCATATACGTTACGTTTGATGGGGATACGTCGAAGTAGAGTTTGCTGGATAGAATTCGTTCTCGCCGGAGAGTTTCTGCGTCAGTTTCATGCGCCGATGAAGAAGACATTTTAGCACGACGGTAGAGAGAGTGGGAAACTTTGATGGTGGCTAACGTGAGGAGCAAATAGACAGCTGGTTTGCAGAGATCGCGAGTTGACTCGGCCCAGATCGGTCGAGTTGGGGAATCTTCATGACCAGTCTGCAACTCCAACGCCGAAGCAACGAGGGACGGTGGTGGAGAAGTGCTTTACAGACGCGCGCAAGAAGCGCGTTTGACTCACCTTTCTTAACCGGGATTGGTTAGCTCTTGATATGCAAACCGGATGAATGCTTCTACGATATGTTCTCATTCCATGAAATATTATTGGATTCGATTAAAAGTTAAATTTGGTTTTAATATCAATATTTAAATACTTTTATCATTATTAAAAAAAGATAATCGCATTTAAATACCCGAACTTTTACAAAAATCCCACATAAATACCCAAACTATAAAATTGTCATATAAATACATAAACTTTTCATAACTCCCACATAAATACCCAAACTTTTAAATTTTTTCCAAATCAACCACTCATCCGTTAACAGCGTTAAACGTTACTGTTCACTCGACAAAAAACTGCTGACTCAGCAATGAGTCAGCAAAAAAAACCCGCTAACTCAGCAAAAAGTGTTGACTCAGCAAAAAAAATATTATTAAATATTCAAATTTTTATTTACATATATTTAAATTAATATATACATATAAATTCACACATATATATATATATATACAAATATATATTAAAAAAATTATTTATAATTAATAAAATACATATACACACAACTCCAATATATAAATATATATATATATATCATTACTAATGCATATATATTAAAATAAAAATAATTATAATTAAGATTTGTATATAATTATAATTATATATATTAGTTGTATATGTATATTTTGTATATATAACTAATATATATACATATAAATCTTATTTTTAATATATATTATATGTATATATGTTAGTTATAATTAGTTTTATTTTAATATGTATATTATGTATGTATATAAATTTAATTATAATTATTTTTTATTTTAATATATATACATTAGTAATGATATATATATATATATATTGTAGTTATGTGTATATGTATTTTATTAATTCTAAATAATTTTTTTTAATATATATATGTGTATATATATATATGTGAATTTATATGTATATATTAATTTAAATATATGTAGATAAAAATTTGAATATTTAATAATATTTTTTTGCTGAGTCAGCACTTTTTTTGCTGAGACAACATTTTTTTGCTGAGTCATTGCTGAGTCAGCAGTTTTTTGTCGAATGAACAGTAACGTTTAACGACGTTAACGGATGAGTGGTTGATTTGGAAAAAAATTTAAAAGTCTGGGTATTTATGTGGGAGTTATGAAAAGTTCAGGTATTTATATGACAATTTTATAGTTCGGATATTTATGTGGGATTTTTGTAAAAGTTCGGGTATTTAAATGCGATTATCCCTTAAAAAAAATTATATAAATGAAGAGTAATGGAAACTTTTCCGGTTCGGTTCATTCGGTGTAATCGTTCTTGGTTCCAGAGTGGTACCGATGTGAGAGAATGTGAAATAGAAAGATTCGAGGTAACACGTGTACATCCAAGCAGCCTGCTAATCCGATGCCACGTGTCCTAGAGAAAAAGCCTCTTTTCGGAAGGGGAAAAACGAATTTTACAGTCTCTCTCTCTCTCTCTCTCTCTCTCTCGCTACAACAATGGCGGACAAACCAAGCAGAGCGCTAGTATTGTACGGAGATGGCTTGGCTCGATACGTCGATTCGTCGCATACTCATATCCGTTCCCTTGCTTCCTTAGCTAGCTGTGGCTTCTTGAGCCTCCCTACCGCTCCTCCTTCAGGTCTCTCTCTCCCTTCTTCAATGCCTTAACTAATTCGGTGATGATTTGGTGATGATTCATCAAGAATTTGGGGATCATTTTCTGATTTTGGGTTTTTCTATTTCTGGGTATCTTCCCGTTTAGCTTGGATTCTGCTTTTAACTATGTCTTAGAATTTTAACCAAAAAAAAAAACTGTCTTAGAATGTAATTGCATCGATCGGGTGATCATATTATTGACAGAGATCTGGTTTGTGAACGAATTGGATTCGATTGTTCGAATAAGCAGAGATTAGGACAAGAATTTGTGAGAAGCCAAATCAAGCTCGCGAATTATTCTGTTCATTGAGTTTTGATCCGTAGCTGTGGTAGAATCCAAAAGAAGTCGTCTTTGGTTGATCAGCGAACCGTTTCTGGGCCATGAATACAGGCGTGTAGAGTGAGAATGGAAATATGCTAGCTTGATATATAGAATCAGTGTCAAATCATGCATAAGTGATTACACGCATCTCTTGTGTCTTGTTGTCCCCATGTTAGGTCTCTCTGTTTAGTTCTGCAAGGTATTTATTCTGGGATTTTCTAGATTACAGAAAGCCAAAGCGAAAGGATAGTTCGAGAATTCTCCTATTTGTTGGATGCAGCTGAAGCCTATGCAGTCACTGTAAGATACTTCACTCTCTCTTACGATGTCTAAACGACTTGAGTTCGGTTCGTTAGGGACAGAAATCAGCGATTTGGATGTGTTTTCGGTAGATGTGTATATACACCATCATCCAGATAATCAGGACCATTGAGGTTAACCATTCTTGATGTTGGATTACAGAGTGGGGGAAATGCTACCGGACATGAAAACAAAGTTCCAATCTTGGCTGAACGGTTTGTCTAGTCTCTGATCTCTACAGTTTTATACTCTTCTAGATTATTGCACGAACCACTATATCCATGCCACAATGTCACTGAATGAGATATTACGATGTAGGTTTATGGGACTCAAGGCTGCTTTAGTGACAGACAGTTCTACTTTGAAGGGTTTCGGGAAACTACTTGGGTTAGATGTATTTCAGCTTAGTGAAATCTGCAAAAAGAGTCATTCATCTTCGGCCGATGCTGCGGTTTCTGAGTTGCTTAAACTACTCGGGTTTGAAGAAGGAAAGCCTTTAGATGCAAACCCATTTGACTTAGTTTTTGTTCATATGGGGGTTAGTGAAAATCAAGATGATGGTAATGCGAGCAAGATAGAAACTCTTGATTCTTTGGTTGGTGCCATCATAAGCATGGCTCAGCACGGATCAGAGATTGGATCACACTTGCACTTATCCCTTGCTCTCAGTTACGGGTCTGTCTCAGAGAAAGATGATCCCATTTTTTCTGTCAAGTCTCCCCGAGAGGAGATAAGCCCTGAATTTGCAGGACTAGTCCCTCGTCAAAGCTACACAATGCAAGGAGAAATCATGCGGGGAGATGTTCGGTAAGAGAATGAGATAAGAAAACAAATCCTTATGAGTTGATTTAACAAAAAGTTGGAACTTTTTGAAAATTGGGAAGTGCCCATTTCTTGGTTAACTGTAGTTATTGACAGAATTTGTTGTTGTTCCAACCCACAGGCACTATTGTCCGATGTTGCTAGCTCAGTGGCAGTATGCTGTGACCCGGAAAGACTTGGTCGATACATTTTCGTTTGAAGCTTTCAAAAAGGTAGGTACCATTCAACTCATGGACAGAGAGATTAACTTCTTTTCTGCAAATCTTTATGTTATAATCTGTTCCGAAATCATTTTTCTTATTCTCTCCTTTCAGCTCGGTGGAAATCTCGTAATACCAGCTGACAGGTTCATCCACGAAGTCGCTTTCAAGCTTTGGAAGGCCCCAAAATATGGAGCGTAAGCACAGAGAAGACAAAATCGCAGCAGATACTTGTGTCGTTTTACGGGGTTTTTTTTCGATCTATCAGAATGGAACTGGATGGCTTTCTTTCTTGCTGTCTTTTATTTATCATAGGATTAAGACAGAAACTAAAACTAACAGTCTTTGATCTGAAAGGGAACTCGGTTTGAAGAAAAATCTGATGAAATTCCATCCCGAAAGGTTTTCCGGGAAATAATGGGTCGGGTTGAGTTAACCATTTTGTTATGATCCTTATGAATACCCTTTTTATTATGAAAAAATTCTGTAACATTTAGATCTATATCCCGAACCAGACAGGATTCAAGAATCATCTTCATGTGCGAAGTAGTTTGTACCGCCTAGCCATTGCAGCTTCAGCTCGTCGGAATAGCGTGGTCGGTCTGTCTTGTCTCTAACGATTTTGCGCAGGAACAGCCCGTCTCTCTTGACGACCCATATACATTCCTTGGCTCTCGGCTGGTCGCATTCCCAACGGAAAGCCATCCCGCCCTCGAAAACCACGGTCTTTTGGCCCTCGGGCGAGTTGAAGAACGTCTTGAAATCGCACTCGAACTTTGTGTACAGGAACGGTATCTTCACGGACACGGGCTCGAACGACCAGCGCTTGGCCTGGCCCGGCAATATCACGTGCGTGCCGAGATCGTCGTTCGCCGACCAGCACTTGATCGTCACTCTCCGGTTTCGTCCTGGATATTTCGTGATCTCGTTCCTCACCTCGAACCTCGCTGCCGTGGCCGACGGGAGGGAGAGGATCGCGGCGATAACGCAGAGCCCGAATTGAAACCCGAAATGTCGGCAACCCATTGTCTGAATTTCGAGAATTACGTAAGAAACTGTCGTGGGGAAGATACGTATGCATATGTATGTATGTATAAGCAATATCAGGACTAGACGTTAGAAACTTTCAGAGGGTGTGAGCTTTCTTTTCCATTTTTGTCACTTTTTGTTGTGGTCAAATCGAGCAAAACTATGACCAAAATTTGGTTAGTAACCAAATATTCCGAATTGAATAATACATATAATCTAATTGAATATAATATAAATACTAAATGTTGTAATTGGGGAAAATTTTAAATGAGTTGTTAAGTAGTATGTTCAATATTTTGTCCGTCAATTACAATTGATTTATCTCCCATGTATGTGTCGCACATTCATGCACGTAGGCGGAATTTATCTAACGAACGCTTACGAAGAGTATCAGTCGGAGTTTTTCACGTTAAAAAAATACATAAAAATCGAATTTGAACCGAACCAAACAAAAAAAATAACCAAATTTTTTTAAGAAAATAAGTATTTTTGTTAATAGAAATCAAATTCAATATAAAACCGAAATGTTATAAAAAAAAATTTAAAATGAAATAATCACATCTGAATATAATTCGAAAAGAAACACGAATATCCTAACGAAAAAGGACATCACTTTTTGTAACAAAATGATCATTATAACTTGCATTTTTGGAGCGTATATCATGTTTTTTTATTCTTATAATAATATGGAATCGAATCACCATCCCCAAACCCATTTGCTCTTCAATACGTCCTCGTAGTGACGTTCTTTGAACCATACGATCTTCTTCCTTAGGTACAGACCGCTCCTCTTCGCGACCCAAACACACTCCTGCCCTTTCGGTTTGTCGCATCCGAGTCTGAAGTCCTCGTTATCCTCGAACACGACGACGTTTTCGTCCTGAGTCGTCCCGAAAGCCGTTCGGAACTGGCACCGGAACTCGGTGTACGCAAACGGCCAGAACCTGACCGCCAGTTTGAATTCCCAGCTCCTGGACTGTCCGGGAAAGATCTGGTGCAGACCGAGCTTGTCGTCTCTCGACCAGCATCTCACCGCCAGTATCCCGTCTCGTCCCTTCGCCCCCCGAATCTCGTTCCGTATCGTGAACTTTTCCGCCGCTGCGACCGTAAACGCAGCAGCTATCAAGATGAGGCAAGCCGTGAAGTTCTTGCCGAATCCCGTAGCCATTTTTCTTCTCGCAACCGACCGATCGATGCCGACCAAACTGTTACAAGTTTCGGTCTTTAATAGAAGTAGGAGATAATAAATAACACTACGAGGTTTTAACTCTTTTTCGGTTTTGGCCCCTTTCTCCTTTAATGGAACCACAAATCTAACGTACCCTAATTAGTCTTGAGATCTATGTTCGCTCTTGAATAGAAAACCTTGGTAAATTGTCTTTAGTTATCTCAATACATGCATGCATTAGTCATTTTGGTACGGTTCTATGATATCCAACCATACCGAACCGAAAAATTCGGTAATATCCCCGAATCGTTTAAAATTTCTGAACAGTAATTTCTTTTAGAGAAATGATTTAACAAGATTTTTGTATCGGTTTACCCTCCGGTTTAAACATGCTCTTAGTACTCTTGAAAAAATAAACAAATTTTCGATTGAAGCGCAACGATTCATACAATTGTACATAAGAAAAATTCAAAAAAAAAAAAAGAAGAAAAAAAAGGGTGAACACATTCAGTCGTCGCGGGAGTGAAGATACGACCCGCGACCCCAAGTGCTCTTGCGAACATCATTGTAGGACCCTCGTCCGAACCACGCAGTCTTTCTCCGGAGATACAACCCGTCGTTCTTAGCCACCCAAATGCATTCATCCTTCCTCGGCTTATCGCATTCCCACAGGAAAGATGTATCGGCTTTGAAAACGACTTGCACCGTTAACCCGAACTTGGTCCCGAGCTCGCACCTGAACTCGGTGTAAGCCAACGGCCATAACTTCACTGTCTTGAACGTCCAACTCCTCGATTGCCCCGGCATTACGGTCATTATCCCCAACCTGTCGTGCGTCGACCAGCACCGGACCGAGAGAATCCCCTCTCGACCCCTTAGCCCCCTGAGCTCGTTCTTTAGCTCGAACCGGCCTGCGTCTGCCGTCGGGACGCAGATCATGGCCAAGGTGGTGGTGGTGGCAATTATGATGAGTACGAGGTTTGAGTACCTCGAGCTCCTGCAAAATCCAATCCCCATTTTCTTCTCTCTTTTCTTTTTTTTTAAAGATCTTTGATGGGTTCTGTGAATATAGATTATGTGTTAAATTTGGATATATTTATAAATATGTAAATGGATTGTGGGGTTGTTATAGGTATAGATGTCATTTGGTTTTTCGTTATGATATTGTGTATAATTAGAGATTACAATTTAAGAGGTTTATTTTCCATTTTTAGTTCGATTTTAATATTATTCTCGAAGAATTGACTAGACAGCTTTGTTTTGGTAAGTCTTGTTCGTTTGGGGTCTTATGGTCTGACAAATCCACGTGTCCACACCTGACAGCCCGATACTTCCGGTAGGGCTTTGGACATTGCCCCTCTAAGTTCTGTCTAAATATTCTGCTCTTGGAATCAGATATTAAACGTAACAATACTCATGTACAATTTTTATAATTTCTAATATGATGGGAAACCCTCTCCTACAATCTCCGACACCGGACACCAATTGCAATATAATTATCTCATGATACATTCCTTAATTGAAAGTAATTAATATATGGTTGTGTGTGGGTGCTAGATTTTTTTTTTATTTGTGATTATCCACGTGGGATTCGAATACGCTGTGAGAGAGCCTATATATATATATATATAACTTATTAATTGATTAGTAACTTACATAATAGAGCAGTTTCTATTAAATAAGTAGATACAATAGATATATTATATATAGATGAAAATTTTCAATTTTGGACATGAAAAAATATATATTAATTTACAACAACAACAATCATCATCATCATCATCATCATCTGGGCCACATTGTTTGTATAATATATCAATTACACGCCAAAAATAGTTTTGTAATGATTTTTAAATTTCAGTTGTCCTACTCTTATAATTCATACAATTCACTGGAAATATAAATATTAAATTAATCTCTTTCGCTCTTTCTTATTTATTTATTTTCTGTATTTTATTTTTCAATATAGTATCAGAGTAGCGTTGCGATCTGAAATATATATTTTTTTTTTTAATTTTTTAATCTCTTATTTCTTTTGCGTTTTGGTTGTTCATATATCCAAATCGTTTAAAGGGGAATAAAAAAATCAAATTCAAACGGTGTGATATAACAAAAAAATCAAAGCTAAAAACTCTAAAATCAAGAAAGATGTTATGACAAAAAAGAGTTAAATCTAGAATTTTAAGGTCAATCGAAGTGATTTGAAAATGATTAATGCTCTCTAAAAAATAAAATTTGATATTTATGAATTTTTCCAGAGACAATGAAAATGTATGAGTGATTTATAGTATTATCAATTCAATATTGATTTTTTCCATTCTTTCAAAGACAATCTTGAGGAGAATCTTAAAATGAGAAAACAAATATATCATGGGAGTAAAATTAGATTTTGTGATATGATTGGGAATAATAATTGATACAATATTATTATGTCAATTTTTGTGTATCTTGATTTATTTTCATTGTATTTATATTCCCTTTTTATTTCGTTTGTTAATTTTTTTATAAATATTTGAGTCATTATTGTAATGTAACAAAAAGAAGAAGAAATATAGCAATAAAAATAATTATGTTCTTTTCTCTTTCATTATTTTTTATTTATTTATTTTCTCCATTTTATTTTTTTAATAAAATGCATTTTAAGAAAATAGAAACTTAGGTAATGATATAATTTAGTTTTATAGATAATATTAATATGTCTCTACTCAAATAGATTCAGTAACAAATTCATCAATTGTAAAATCAAAGAGATTATTCCGCAAATTTTGCCATCATATTTACCGATATGTCATGCATAAACATGCCTGCGAGATTTTCTTGAAGAAACGCTCGTCGTTTGCCCTAAAAAGTTCGATGATTTACCCTTAATTCACATTTTCATCACTCTACGTACACGTTATGCATGGGGGGGGTTTGATCTGACATGCACGTACGTAAACTAAAACATATAAACTATAAAAACACACAGACAACATATTTCATATGATTCGAATCAAGAGATCATAAACAAATATCCATCCTTTTTTTTTTTTCCTTCACCATTTCCAAACCCAAGGACTCTCAACAACATCATCATGATACGACTTCCCATCATCATCCTTAAATATCCTCCGATGGTACAATCCTTTCTTCTTCGCCACCCAAATGCATTGATCTCCTCTCGTGCCGTCGCAGCTCTTCCTCTGGAACCCCCGGTTGCCGGAAAACACCGTCACCACGTCATCCTTTGTCGTCCCAAAGGCCGTCCGGAACTCGCAGCGGAATTCCGTGGTGGGGAACGGCCAGAAGTTGATGGTGGTGAACTTCCACTTCCTCGAGTCGCCGGGAGGGATGATGTCCCAGCCGAGATCGTCCTCGTTGGACCAGCACCTCACCGCGAGCTTTCCCCTCCGACCACCTCGTGCCATGCCGGAGATCTCGTTCCTCAGCTCGAGCCGCCCGGCCGTGGCCACGGCCGCAGCCGTCACCGCCATCGCCACGACGAAGCACCAGCCCCGGAGGATTCTCCTCCCCATTTGATTACGGTCCCTTTGTTTTTTTTCCCAATCTTCTTGACCTCCTTGTTTTAGTTCTTTTTTGGGGTTTAGGGGACAAATATAGACGTGCATCTTTGGAGATTAGACGTTAGTGTTTTCTATTTTCGATCCCTTTTTCTCGCTGGAGGTTCAAGTTTGCTGGAATCCCCTGTTCTGCCACCAAACGTGTATGTACAATCATAACCACGACCATATCGTAGACTTTATTAAAATTAGGGGAAATCACAAAAAAAAATATCTAATATAAGTTTGAGATAACTAAGAACTTTTCGAACTTTTAAAATAAACTAATTCATCGATTTTGATTAAAAAAAAAGTATAATGAATTTTTAAAATTTTGACAAATTCAGTCGATGGATGTTCTTACTCATGTGTGTGTCATGAGTTTAAGCCATTAAAACAGTGGGTAATTTAAACATGGGTGTTTTTTAGTTTATTTCTATTAACTTTGACCTAACGTAAGTCCTGTGCGTAGGGTTTGAAACCGAGATTTGGAGTCTTGGTTCAAAGCACAAGAGACATATATATATACACCCACACACACACACACTATATTTAGGTTATCTGTCAATGCATATAAAAAAAATCGATGCCCTTGGCTTAGAGCGAGTCCAAATTGTTATATTTTATAATATAAAAATAAATAGACAGAAGCATAGTGTAAAAATGTATTAGAAATCTAGCAATCATCAGGCCTCGATTTAGGTCAAATTTCCAGGTTGCGAAATTTATATTATATCACATCCGAAAGGTCGATCATTCCTCGTTTCATCTCAAAGTTAAAATTGTCGATTGTTTCATCCATCAGTTACCAATCATATGTCACAGTATTCAGAACCGTGATTATGTGCGTATTATGTTATGTTCGAGTGAATATTTTAAGAATGTAAATGCGATCAAATCTCAAACGTCAAATCAATTACATTATCCGTCTATGACCATGTCATAACACCGACACTACGAACACAATCCATCCCTGTCGGGGAAATATAGAAGTACCAAGAGATCTAAAGATACTTTGGACACCATGAACAATTCCCAAAGAATGTGGTTCGGGTGGAAACCTAACTGTGCTGACACTAAACTAACTCACAATTTCTTTCGATTCTTGGACAAACACGTCCTTTGACAACTTTAGTCCGAATCATGGTCTTTGCCCTTGTCGCCCTTTCCGCGATTCTTGTCGCTATCGCGAACGCTAACCCCGTCATCGCGTTTGCGTCTGCGTCTCAGGGCCTCCAGCTGCGTCGGCGACCACGCCTTCCACGGCTCGACGAGCTTCTCCACTGGTCGGACGAGCTCCAAGAACCGTAGGAAAACGTTGTGAGGGTAATACGTCTCGAAGCCGACGAAGTAGATCCCGTCGGGTTTGATGACGTATTTACACAAATGCCCTCCGCAGAGCATCGCCGTCATGGACACCGTCTTGATATCGATCTCGGCCGTGCCTTGGCTCGACCGGAAACGGCACCGGTGGACCACGACGCCGGTGCCGAACGGTGGAACGTTGAAATCCCAAGAAAATTCCGATTTGAGTTCCGATCTGTGCCACCGGAATTCTCTCAACCTGGACCAGCACCGGTAAACGACCGACGGGCGTTTCAGGCCATGCATCTCGTTCTTTATCAGAATCGAGAATTCAACTTCTCTGGGGCCGATCGCGTTCCCGGGCATGGAGATTACTTGCAAGACAAGAAACCAATACGCTAGGGTTTTGACGATACCTCCTCCCATTTTCGCTATTTTTTTAAAGTTATTATTAGAATTTTATTTCAAATTTTTTTGGGTTCTCTCTTGAGTTTCGTATTGGTTTATATATTTTACGAATTGGGGAAATTTTGTTATAAACTAAAACTGTTGTTGGAGCAAATGTACTTGTGAAATAACGAACCATGAAGGATAGATAAATTTATTAATTAAAAAAAAAAAGCTAACTTTCTTCCTTTATATTCTCCACCGATAAGAGTGATTAGTGATGCGTATTGATTTCGTTATGTATTTTGGGAAAGAAGCTTCACCAATGGCATTTATTCGTTACGGCAATAACGATAATGTTACATTTTATTCCGTAACGTCCATATGGTTATTTATATATCGCTAAATAGAAACTGTTGGACGAGATGAATCTCGTTTTCCTTCACACTATAACCATTACCGGAATGCCGGTTTCATTTACATGACAAATTCTTGCGACTCCATTAAGGAAAAAAAAAATGTAATTAAAATCGATATGAAAATACCGACGGATTATAGAGATGTACTTGTAAATTTTCCGATTTAACTAGGATTTTGATTCTTCTTAATATTTATATAGATGTTAGTTTACATTTTCTATTATATGATTCAATTTATGATTTGTAACTGACCTAATATTAGTATTATTTATTTATCTTAGATTCGGTCTATTGTAAACAATTTATCACCATTATTGTGTTTATAACACAACGCATTCTCTAAACTTTTCCTCAACTATTTTTCTTTAAAATTTTACATAAACTTACATGATATCATAACTCTTCCATTCTATATATATAAGCTTGTCAGTAGCTTTATGGTGAAGAAGAGAGAAGCCGCTAGTTCTCTCAGAGGGTTAGATTGTGACAATCACTTCTTTTACACAACCCTAGCCACCGAGGACTACCCCAAAAACCTTGGAGACTGTATATATCCCCCGGTCGTCGTTCCAAGGCACATATAAAGATTTGTTTATTGAATTCCGACGGTTTATTCTCGGTTTCAATCAGCTTATAAGTTCATGAATCCGTGTTCATATGAAACACACTGATTTTGAACCCCTTTGAATCAGTTTCGAAAGTACCTGGCCCGTGCCCCGCCCTAGCTTACGGGGTTTGAATTGTCCCTGCCTTTGTCCCTTCTGATTTTCTCGGTTAGCCTATCCGACCTCGGCCACGGAGAGGTCGGATATCTGAAAGGTCGAGTATTCGAGTATTCATGCGATATGGAAAGTGTTCGGGTACCTTTCTGCTAAGCATAGAAGAAAAGAAAAGGAACCGGAAATTGTAGAGTAGGGAATAAACCCTAATATGTCCATTCAACAAGAAATGAGGACACTTTCACTTATATGATTATGTATATCTCTCCATTCCTTCTATTTAAAGCGTCAAATTCGACGCCAAACTTTTAACAACTAATTCCATCCATCAACCGATCAGTAATCACATCGTCTCGTAATGGAAATAAGAACAATCGCAAGTTGGTTTACCACTTTTCATTCTTCCAAAACATTAGAACCCATCATCTCGTGTTATATTAGAAATTCGCCCGACCGATCAGATCTCTGATCTCAGCCACGAGACTCGATATTCTCATCATCCGCCAACTTCTTCAGATAAGCATCCCTTTCCCTGCGGCGGCGCCGGCGGACGGCGTGGCGCAAAACCCTAATCTGATGCGGCGACCATGGCTTCCACGGCTCGATGATCTTCTCGACGGGCCTCAACATCTCGAAGTACCGGCCGAAAGCGTGAGAAGGGTAATACAGCTCGTACCCGAGGAAGTATACCCCGTCGGATCTAACGGCGTATACGCACACGTGGCCGTCACAGAGCATGGCCGTAGTGGACATCGTCTCGATCTCGATGTTAATGGATCCCTCCGATGATCGGAACTCGCAGCTGTGGATCTTGACTCCGTTACCGTACGGAAGAACGTCGAAGTGCCAAGAGAATTCAGCCGCCGGGAAGGATTTGTGCCAGCCGTAGTCTTTTTCCGCCGACCAGCAATGGTAGAATACCGTCGTACGGTTTGTTCCGTGCATCTCGTTCCGTATCCTTATAGCGAAGTCCACGTTTTTCGGGGTAGACCCGGATTTTCCGGTGGTGGCGATTGCTTGCAGGACAAGGCAAGAAACTAGGGTTTTGATCAACAAACCCATTTTCGTGTGCCCTGTTCTTGGGAGGGGATTTTCGTTTGTCGTTTTTTTCCCCGTGTTTAATGGTTTATATTTTACGTAGAAGAAGAACGGTTACGATGAGAATTGGTAATAATAGGAAAGACGTAATTAGCTTTCCCGACAACGTACTAAATATGCATATCTTTGTTCGGTTGAAATATTTTAGGAAAAAAAAAACTAAACTCAGATACTTCGCTTAGAATGTTAAAGTCCCATTCAATATCAATTCAACATAAATATTTACGAATTCATCTTAAATTAAATATATCGGTTTTATTACATGCCCATAATAGCGATTGATATATACTAACAATTAAAAAAATATGTGCATAGACTTCTTCCCCCTAGATCGTGAGCTTCAACACATACACAAGTATCCACTTAGAATATCCAAATATAAAATAAGAAATAATGAACTAACGCAACGATATGTAGTTAGTTTTTTGTTTGTTATACGTAAAAAATGTTGATTGGGATGGAAAATGAACAATATTATATTTTTCGAATTGGATTTAATCTTCCGATTTTCAGGCACGACCATGAGTCCGACCACGGCGGTTGCGTGGTGGCCAAGGCTTCCACTGAGCCTCGACATACCTGACGTTCTTGAGCTTCGGGTACCTATCAAATTGTAATGAAATTATTGTTACTATCATTAATAAACAAGAATATAACTAATTAAAAAACATATTATTAATATATAAACCCTAAATTATATATATACCTCTCACTGAAATCCCATTCCTTGCCCTCGAAAACAATCCCTTCCCTTGTCGCGACGTGAACTGCGCAAGCCGATTTCTTCACGCAGATCTCGGCGTCGATCGCCGTCGTACGGATCTCGATGTCGGCGGTCCCTAGGGCCGACCGGAAATGGCAGCTGTGAACCTCTTCCTGTAGTTTGCCTCCTCCTTCGACGATTATGCTGAAGGAATGCCCTAGCGGTGGATTCTTCGCCCGTCGCCAGCCGTAGTCAAGGCGGCTTCCGGTTAGGCCCCGACAGTGGTAGATGATCTCTGTCCGGTTCATTCCGTACATCCCGTTCCGGATCTTGAGCTCCGTCGTGGTGAATTCGGGCCGGTCGCCGTGAGCCGTGGTGAATACTTGTAAGACAAGCAACCATGGAAGATTAATTAGGGTTTTGTGGATTTTGTTTTGTTTTTGCCCCATTTGCGAGTATAGTTTTTTTCCCTCTCGTGTGATTGTGAGGGAATTGTTTCCTTTTCTTTGTAGTTTTCGATATTTCACCTTTTTTTTGGAAACTGAAATCTGTTGAAATTGCATTAATTTGCATATTTTTGTTTCTTTTTTGGGAGGTGAATTTCGAGTGAAGAAGTTATTGTTAAATTTATCTTTAAATAACGGAATAAGTTTCTTTTTTTTCTGCATAAAATACGGGAATAATTTAATGCAACATAATTAATTAACAACAACAACCTGGTGCCAAAGCTTCTCAAAGACCTAGGGAACCTCCGGTCGAAAGAGAGGGTTTGAATTGAATCCAAAACGCGAGTCTCGAGGTGGCCCAACTTCGGTGACTTGAAGAGCGGCGTTTTAGTAAGGGCAGGAACGTCTTTGTACACGCGAAGTTTAGTTAAAAGTCGTTAGGCTTCGGTTTAGCATTTTTTTTATAAAACAGAAGTTCATACGATCTAACTATATCTCTCATATAATTGGGTAGGTGGAGATTCAAATCTCCATCGGAAATTAACTTTATCCCACCTATCCCACCTATTACCAGTTAAGCTATCTGATCTTTAATTCGCTTTTGCATTTAGATTGAAGCAATTCTTCTAGTTTTTTTCAGTCCAAATTTTTGTTAATTTTTATAAATTGGATTTGGCACACGTAACAATAAATAGTGAAATTAAATATATTGGACATACCTTCGAAAATTCCGAATTCGACTCTCCTTTCATTTTTCCCCTAAATAAATATATACATTTCCAAGAGAATATCGAGTTTGATGGAAAAAGATTTATATGCAACTCTCTCAAAGAACACACACGCACACACACATACAATCAATTGCCCAAATGATCAAATCCGCTACTTGATTTCTCATTTCGCTATAATGATTCATTATAATATGAATTTCGAGAGTTATATATATATATATATATATATATATATATATATGCTTGTAACATAGCGACAAAACTATGTAATTGTACATTGTAATAACGTCCAAACGATCTATCAATGTCGGCCACCTTGTCGGGCCCGGCCACGGCCAGAGCCGCCAGGGTTGAAAGGCTGGCGAAGGCGACGGGGCCAAGGGTTCCAAGGAGTGAGTTCCTTAGTATCTTTCATCAAAAGCCCTTCTTTTCTAATAGCTAAAATACATCTATAATCAGGACAAGATCTACCTAGGGCTGGAGTCACGACGATATTCACATTCGCGTACCCCAAATTCGACCTGAAATGGCAACGATGAACCCATCTCGCCTTTGGATTGATCCTGTAGAATAAGAATTTGGCGAAGAAACGATCTCCCGGGAGAGATTTCGTCCAGAGTTTCTTGCTCCCCACGCAATGGAAACCGGCTTTAGGCCTCTTGATGCCTTGGAGTTCGTTGATTGCCTCGACGATGACTTGGGTTCCGTCGCTGAGACGGTAACCGGAGCTGAAATATTCGCTCGGATGAACTGATTCATAGTCGGCGTAATGGTTGATCAGAGGGTTGTCGTCCTCGTCCTGGCCGGTGACTTGAAGCACAAGGCACAAAATTAGGGTTCCTAGAAGGAAGGCTTTGCCTCTCATTCTTCTTTTAACACTCTTTTTTTTTTAATTTAAAATTTTATCTTTTGAATTATTAGTTTTTTATATATATGAATGATGCTCCCATTGTGTAGAAAAAGAAACGGAATCGTTCCTTCTGAAATTTGTTTGTAACATTCTTTCTTTTTTTGCCGTATGTTTGTTAACGTGATTGAATTTGGTTTTGACAAAAATAGTTAAATTCTAATGATTATGAGATTATTTATCCTCTAATTATGATATATAATATGGACCTAACGCATCAATCACATGCATTTGTGTTCACATACCATCGAGGGATATATATGAGCTTGTGGTTTCCGAATCAAATGAGAAAGTTAATAAACTCTAACCAAATGCGATATACATTCGATGCAAATACATTGTATCTCAAATCAAATAATATATATATATATAAACCCATTTTATTAGGCCCATAAATCCATTTTTTAGACAAAAAAAAATATATGTAAATCAATCTCAATTCACATGTTTAAAATTATGCCATGGTCTAGGACCATCATTTCTCATTTGTCATCCTTACATTTACATTTACATTGAGAGAGAGAGAGAGAGAGAGATAATGTGTGTGTGTGTGTATATATGTTTT